TGATAAAACATCATATTTTTGAGAAAATTTGTACGCCGCATTTTTAGTGCATCATATTAATTAATTATTTATATTGAATTGTGTTTTTATTCACATGAATAATTATCATTTTAGCAGGAACTAGAGTTGAGAACCTTTGTAGTTTCCTGACCCTGCAACAATATATGGCCACATCCACAGGAAATTAAAATTTTCATATGTAGAAGGAATTATTAAAAAACGATTTTAGGAAATTGTGCTTTTCAACAAAGTTTTTTAAAATTTCTTATAACAAATTAATAACTAAGAAGTCATGTACATATTTAAATAGGCAATTGTCTAATAATTTGGAGCAAATAGACAGGCTGTATTGATTTCTAAGAAATTGATAAAAAAAGTTTTGAAGTTCAAATTCAAATAATAGCAAAAGTTTAATATGACAATAGAGTTTAATTCACACTTGTATAATAAGATGAATTGTTAATTATGCGGTAAAATACCAATGAAAAAAAGTGAAAAAGCGCACTTGACGTGTTAAATTTTCGTGTTCTCACAATTATTAATAATTCACGAAACGAAATAATTGATGTTTAAAGTTTATAGTCTGCATTATCTCCTTGACATTATGCGACTTTTTATATATATTATATATGAATGTCTTCAGTACATCTTTAGTGTTATATACCTTCGCCTTAGAAAGTGCATTTCAATAACTTTTCTTGGACATTAATTAAATAATACGAAGTACCTATTATTAAAATAACAAAATAGCATTATAGAAGGTATAATATATTCGCGTTTTCATAATTGCGTAATAATAAAAACAATCCAGCTTTATCGATTTAATTCATCTCATTCAAACACGTTACGGCCGTTTATTACTCGCAAAGCGTTGGTTAAAATTATTGTGCAATTTGTTGGTTGTGTTTCAATGTGCTTTGAGAAAAGTTCGAACAAATTATTACAAAAATCGATACAGAAACCAATTGTTGCATCATGAAAATTTGGTTATATGATGCTATAACTTATAATTTTGCAAATGTTATGTAATTAATTAATAAAATAATGAATTTCATGCTTAAGTAATTAGTTTCATTAAATTATTCAAATTATGTAAGCAACTTGATACCCCTTTTAAATGTCCATTCCTGTGTCGGGGTTTAAACAATACAAGGTTGGAGATGATTTACTGAAATCTGCATAATATGTTATTTATAGTCTAGAATACATGTATATACGAACCATTTTATTTAAATATACAATAATTTTGCATCGATATTCTTTTTCTGGCCCTTTGTACTTCTCTATTAGCACCCATGTGTAATGTAGAAAGACCAGTACGACCCAGATAATAGTTCGCCTACATATTTCTGCGTGACTAATAACAACAAATAGGTAAAAGAATTATTTGTCGTTATTGTCTATTACAACATGAATGGATTTTGCAATTTAGATTAGACAAAATACTATACCAGTGGCGTCGGTAACTAAAACTTGGATACAAATCTGCGAACCAATGAGGCTTTTTTATTTGTAATTATCAAAATAATCAAAATCGTCTTTTGTATTTAACTTTATCCGAGTTTGAAAATTGTTATATAAATGATGCGAATATTTGTTATAAAAATAATACGAATATTTGAGAGAGTGCTCCATGAGGTCAAGCTCAGGGACCGGTTTGGACAAGCTGTCCATTTTCATAGATCAAAAATATGTTTTCAATTAAAATTAGCCCATTTCGGGAAACTTTTACACTATTCCTCCCTGAATCGAGTTGGAGTTTAACTCACAATCAGTTCAAGAATTTGCCCTAAGGCAGTATAACCCATTATTAATTTATTGGAACAGCAATCAGAACTTAACTTTCCTATAAGCTGTATAATGATGTCAACCCAAAAAGTTGTTCTATCTTTATGTGATAAATTTTATTATCACTTTTTCTGCAATATCAAAGAACTTTTTTCTGCAACAATGCTAAGCAGAGCCCTTCTTTACTTGGAAACATATTTCTGTCTACATTTCCAAGTGAAAATCGATCAATCCTTACATTAAGTTGCAAAAGGAATTGAAACTTGAATTTATGATTGAAGTCCAAAAGCTCTAACCACTAATTTATAGAAAGGCCCTACTCATAAGTAGTATTTACTAAGTACAAATAACTTATCTAAGATATGCCAATATCATTAACAAACTTTAACATTGTAATTATAAACGAGTTAATAATCGGCAAAGAATTTTAAATAGAAACGAGTTGCATTTATCATTTTATGTACAAATTAAAGCAGACAATTCAAATAAAATCGTGTTTTCTGCCATAGTATTCGATACTCATAATTCGACCGGTTTAATAATAATTCATTATTTTTGGGCAAAAGCAGGTGGTAACGCTCAATGTGTCGTCTTGTTTCTTCTTTTCCCGCTACCATACCTACTTCTTGTCACTGAATATCATTGTGGTTTGTAGCGGCATTCCATCGGAACAGGTCCCGTCATCATCTTCATCAACAGAGGTGGATTATGAAAATCCTTATGAGGAAAAATCGTCACAAGAAAAGGCTCCAATTAAACTACACTACACGTTTTTGTAAAGGTCAATTAAAAGAAAAGACATTGGGAATCGTATCAGAACAAGTAATTTTTATGGCAACTTGTGCAGCAAGGGATATTTTTCCTGTAGCAAAAAGCTTTTAGAAGAAGCCAGTAAGAATGTAACCTATAAGTAATAAACATATCCTTATAATAATGATAATACAAAATTGAGCTGTTTTTGATACAATTGAAAGATCCGAAACATCATACGACAGTTTAGTAAGTAGTTATCAATTATGTATAATTTTTACGTATTTATAGACATGTTTCAAATATATCAATTATTGTGTGCCAAATTTATGCAAAAAATTAATAATTATAAACATGTTGCTATAATATTTTACGATGGAAAGATACAATTAAACGCTGACAGGATTTGATCTCTAGAATTTTTATTTTTATTCTTATCTATGATTGCAAGCATAAGAAGTAGGAGAATATTCTAAAACATCAATTAAGTTTTATAACTAAATAACTTCTTATAGGTTCTATAATATCTTAAGGTGTTCATTTTGACTATCAACTATATATCCGTGCAAAATTGAATCAAAATCTCAGTACAGTAAACCTGAGGTTGCACTTGTTAGTTAAGTCTTTTTAACTCAAGAATATAAAATCAAATAAGAGACTAAAGAAGCTAAAGTACAAGATTTATTGAAAAATTTCGATTCGACTATTCGCCATATGACTAAATAAACTGATTCAGAATTAATAGAAACAAACTAATTTAAGAAGGTAGGATGGATGTCAATGTTTTAAATTTTCTTTAGTACGGTACTGTTAAAGAAGGTACATTAATAATAAAAGATATCCGATCATCATTCGCCATGCATAGTAATGACCGGAGCAAACATCACATGCCAACACTCGCGTCACACAATTTGTACAAAAAACAAATAAAATATCAAATCAATAGATGGATATATGTGCTGCACGTATTTCACAAAATGATTTATATACTTATTTGATTAGAATGAACTATGTAGACTTCAGTAAGAAGTTAAGTACATTATTAATTAGGAAGATCATTGTTTTCGCAAATTGTACAAAAACTCGTCCAAAACTATTTATCCATTGAACAATAAGAATTATTTGAACGCTTAATCGCTAAATTAATAGATTGTTCTACATGTCGAAAGTTGGTCACCCGTAATGTTTTGCTAAATTGAAATTATCTGAAAGGTAATTGGAATCAGGTAGTAAAATGAGAGTAATGCTTGAACTAGTTATCATAAATAAAAATATCGTAGGCGATAGTGAGGAACAAGATAGAAACTAATAATACTAATGATTAATTATAAATAAATAAGGTATATTTTTCAACTTTCAGCGCTAGATTATACACTTTTAACACCTTGGAGCAATAGTGTTTTTATTAATTAAGGATACAAAATTTTGACAGTACATTCCATTGAATGAAGGCTAGGATATTAGCCACAACGTATGAATTTCAAATATTTTTAGCATCATTTTTTTTTTATTAATGTAATTCCCGAACTTTGAACCTAACTAATTTTTATATACATAAATATTAATAATGGTAATGGATAACTCGTCTATATGCTTATCTACATATTTAATTAAATTAACTTTAAGATTCTCACTTTTTTAAATTAAAAACTATTTTTGCAAAATGATGAAATCGTTGTTTTGAAACCCTAATGTTAATGACTCTTTATAAAAAATGAATTGTTACATGATTTTTGGGATCAGAACATCCGTACGTCCTAAAGAGAGAAATGAATGTATTTATGCCTTACCTATAATTTCTATTTTTTTTTTTAAAAAAAGCTCTAAAATTTTATCATAGCCGCACTTTATATCAATATTCATAATGGTAATTATGAAATTAATAATTTTACAATGAAATATAAAACACAAAGCTTCTTTCATTACACTCCTTGTAAATAAATATTGTAAGCAATCAGACTGATAACTCACATTAAAGAACTGTTAATGTATTCATAATTCATTGGCATTTTTATAAAATTCATTACCATCTGATTATATTATTTATTCATTCAACTATGCTAAATAACTCAAGATTTTTATTATATACTTAACACGAACCTTCTCCACAAAAGCCACTAGCAAGTTGTACATAACTTATCAATAAATTATCGATTTAAAATAATTTAGACATTCGCGGTCAATCGAGGTTCAAAACGAAAGAAACTTGAAATCAAGTTATCAATAAAAGATAGTTGACTACTTTTCGTAAGAAGAATTTAAATTAATTCAACAAGTAACGGATCTGATGAAAAAAATTACATTCGAAGATAGAATATGGTCAAACTTATGGTTTTTTGGATGAATATAATTGAACCCAAAATAATCAAATCGGTCAATACTATATCTTAAATTGTTATATGGAACAATGCATATGTAGTATTATTTTTTATATATAACTAATATTAGTTTTATCATTTCAGGTGCCATCGGAGGGTCCATGAATCGGCAACATGGTCATCGTAACACGGGTAAAAAATACTACACATATTTTCATTTATATAAATAATAGATATTCATCATTCAGGTTTTTTATTATTTAATCAAAAATATAATAATTAAGTCAATCATCTTACTCATGTTGAAGAACCATTAAGTATCATTAGAATAGACATCTTTTTGTTATTAACAGCATGTAATATAATCAGGATTTATATTATGGAATCATTAAATATATTCAGAACAATTAACTTATCAAAGAAACTCGAAAATGATTAAACTATTGAATAAGAAACAATTAAATAAAGTCAGCAGTAATTACTGTAAACAATAACTTTTTTCTAACATTTAAAAGAGACGTTCTAGTTTATAATTAAAAATATGAAATAGTAAAAAATTGGAAATTCAGAATGAGCTATTTCAATACAATCTGTATCTTTAATATATCAACAAATAAAAGAATTTCTGGTTTCTCATATATTCAAATACGAAAATATTACTCTAATTTGTGTAATTGCTCAATATTTTCTCCAGCATGATTTTATATGCCAATGTACATAAGTGAAAATGTGCAAATATAAACGTTCTAATATAAAAAGTAAATAGTTCAATTTTTTTAAATATAATTTATATTTCTTGCACGCTTTTCTCCGAAGACGTGCTTCGAAGCAAATAGTTACAATATAAGTTGATAATTTTAAACCAACCTTAGACAATCATATATTTTTTTTTTAATTTCAATAATTATTATAACTGTTAAATTATTAGACAATTATAATTACTAAGGATCTAATGAAACGATTTATCATTAGAATATTTTTAATGTTAACTCCTATAACTACTACTTATTACAAATTCATTCCAGTTTTACAGCAATTAAAAATGCTTTAGAGAAAATACAACAAACGTTAGGTTATATATTATAATAGTCCACAGCCGATAAGAGCTGAAAAGTTGAATACAAACAAAGAAGTGCGTTCAAACGGTAAAAATGGATAAAAATTTCCATACAATAGAAATAGATACTGATATATTTTCTTCCGTGTTTATAAAACTTTAATTAAGACGAGGTAAATATTAACAAATCATTTAATATTCGGTGTTATAATTTTAAAATCTATTCTGTCGACAGCGCATTTGTCAAATATTGGATATTATCTTTTTCTTTGTCGTCCAGAGTGACGCTAATTTTGCCATTTATAAAAAAATATTTTACACTAACAATAGCTTAATAAATTTTTTTAAAGAGTCATAAAGTTGTAATTTGTTTCATTTTAGTAGTATTTTATACATTGTCTTACTTATTTATATAGTATAGACAATAAAAAATAATAGGGTATGAAGCTGAATCATTCTTTACAATATATATACAGACAGGAAGCTCTTAAAATTGTTTAAATGAATTCTGATTACAATTTAATGTTTCTAAATGAAAAAGATTCAAATGAACGACGCATGGCCAATACGAACATAGCAAGATTATCTTTTTCTTTTATAGAAATTCTTCTGACTAAACTATAAAAGATTTTGGTTTTCAAAAGATTATATTTGTTGTATTATACTTTAAATATTTATGACTCATATTACTAATCTGTTACTTATGTCCAAATGAAACTTTACAAATATAAAACATGGTACATGTAATTAAAATCAACGGTTCGTTGCATAATATGCGCCTGATTATAATGTCAGTTGTTCTCTAGTTCTGTTTACAATTTTTTAAGATTAAGGTTTAAACAAATTTTAAACAGCACACAAATATTTTTTCGAAGAATTTTAAAGTATAGTATTTTTAGCAAAATTTTGCAGTGTGTGTTTTTATTGAAAATGATGAAACATTAAGTTCCAGAAAAAGGGTTTTCTCTTATCCGCGAATACTTGATAAAATGATGGGAAAAATTAGAAAAAATGTTTGGAGAAAAAAATGATACTTTTAGTTATATATATATATATATATATATATATATTGAAATTCATTATTTTTTACATTTGTCTACAAAGAACCAAGTGAGCAAAATATGACTCAACCATTTAGCATAATGAATACTAATTATTATAGAAAATATATTTTTAAAAATTGTGGAGATTGAATATATTATTTATTATCTATTATAATTTTTGCGTTGTTATTAAGTAAAATAGTTAAAATAAAATATAAAAGAATAATGGTGAAACAGAACAGAAATTTAATATAATAACAAAATTATTGGAGAGAACCATAAAATTATTATTTATTATCGATGTAAGTATTCCATTATTTCAAGCCCTTGTCAATTAAATATACTAATATATTATATTAAATTATATACTTGTATACCGCAGATTATTAACGCGCGTTATCATATGCAAACTAACCTTCTTTAATTAATTATTATTAAAGAAAATTAATATAAATGGTTAGCAGGTGCAGATATTCATATCAATATCAATAAATGACCATGATTATGCCAATATTTTGCAATAATCGCAAATTTCGATGCGTCATGTAATCTAACGAGCATAAACGCACAATAGACAAAATTATTTATATTGGAAGTAGTTCATTGCAATTCATACGAACTGAATAAAAAATTTATTGTCTGGTAAAACAACAAAATTTTTAGTGAAAGTGTTTGTTTAATAAATCCTTAACAGTGTCAAAAATTTATCGTGTTAATTAAACTATTACAAATGATTTGCCGTTGATATGGAGAATGAGCCGCAAAACATAATATGTCAGGTAAACTTGGTATAGTGGTTTCTTATCACACATTTAATCGTGATAAAACAATAATATGAGACAATTGTTTGCATAGTACTATAAATCTGTATTCATTTTAAGTGGTTTATCAAATACTTCAAGTTAAAACACTTCGTCTTCTTTTAAACAACGGTGAAAATTAATTTTATGCTTGTATTATCAAAGGGATTACAGTTTCTAATGAAATTCTTGGCAATAACGTGAATTTTGCTAACACCAAACAATTTTCAAGAAATGGATGTGAGTTTTAGGTGAAAATATTCTTGCAAAGTGTAAAATTACAATCTTGTGCTTTTAAGATTAAATAAAATTACATTTATTTGGTTCAATTTTATAATTGATTTATAAAATTTAGATATTTGATCGTTGAGTTTATTTTTTTAGAATAAACCTTAAGTACATTTTTTAAGCATATTCGTAAAAATGTTTAATTAAAATTGCTTATTACATTACATTATTTGTCATTAAAAAAAGTGAAATTCTATTCTATTAATATAATATGGATAATATATGATACATTTGGTAAAAGTTAAGTTGCGTACATGGGAGTATGTGGAATCAATGTGTATAAGTTTCTGAGTATGAATATCACGCATCCCTAAAAGATATATATAATAATGAATTAATATTTATGATTTTATTTTTCTAAATTCGAAGTGCTTGGTCAATCAATATTCAGGCAACTATACACACCTGTAACTTAAAGTATTATCTATTACAATTTTTAGAGAGCATAATTCAATAAATAGTGAAAGTTTGTTTAATTTCACATTTACAAGTATTTTCTACGATTCTAACTAAGAGAACAATTTGTTTTATAATTTAAGTTTTTTAATTATTTGAAAAAAATCACATTCACTAAAAATCGAATAAAACGTTTACTAAAAATTATAATTTATTTTAATTTAAGCTAAAGATGTTTACTGTTGCTGATACACTAAAAGACTAAACATTCTAAATTCATTTTCCCAAACTAATTCTTCGGGTTTTCATATGTCTTTGCGCCTAGGGTTATATATTTTTACCAGTGTTTTATTATTAATCTTGTTTGAGAAATTCATTAGACAAGAAGTTATAAAAATCAAGATGTAACAAATTTGAATATATTGATAATACGTCACGTATGGCTAGGTAAGATAATCGCGAACTGATATTCGTAGATAATATCTATGTGAACTTATCGTTCAAATAATAAAATTAAATATACCCCATGCCAAGAAAATGAACTCACTGACCTTTTGTCCAGGGTGACTACATATGGATCGAGCCGGCGTCCGGTCGCGAGTTCGATGTTGCCATCGGCGGTCGCGTCATTTCGGCAGAAGGACGCCGCATTCAGGTGCTGGACGACGATGGCAACGAGCAATGGCTCAGCCCGGAGCGGCGCATCAAGGCGATGCACGGGAGCAGCGTGCGGGGCGTCGAGGACATGATCTCGTTGGGAGATCTGCACGAGGCCGGAATTCTTCGAAACCTATTGATTAGATATAATGAAAATTTGATATATGTGAGTATAGAAATACGAATGTTATATAATAGTCGCTATCAGAACTATGTGCCCTAGAACTGATGTGAATATATCTAGTTTAATCTTCCTCCTTAATCTAGTTTTTCTAGAAGGAGCATTTCTTTCATTTACATTTTTTAAGTTGATCATTCTCTTTCTGAAGAGGCATATAAGAGATTTTAAACGGCATTTGAAAATATATTATAGTAAAGCCCCAAAAGATATAAGTTTACTTGATATCATATTTGCGATTTATAATCTAAGATTTGGAATAGAGAGAAGCGGAAATCTCAAATATCTATTACTTATTTGATATTGTGATTTCAATCACTCTATTTTTTATATTATACTCATATTAATTATTTTTGACATGTAAGTTGATATTAAATAGCAATATACGCAAAGACTATTTATTAATTACTTATTGTTAGGTCTAGAATTCTGGCCTACATATGAGTTAATCTTTCTGTTTGGCCTTCATATATAAGGTTTCATTAAGCCGTATACTAAAATATGATATATCCACGTATATACATATGTATACATATATATATACATAGGAACACATACCATATACATATATATATATATATATTTACACGTTTTACGGAGACAAGTCCAATTTTTAAATGACTGCAGATGATATAGTTTGTTTTCAACTATTTCAGACATACACTGGGTCCATTTTGGTTGCCGTGAATCCTTATCAAATTTTACCAATATATACCGGAGATCAAATAAAATTATACAAGGAAAGAAAAATTGGAGAGCTACCGCCTCACATTTTTGCAATCGGAGATAACACATACGCACACATGCGCCGCTATGGCCAAGATCAATGTATTGTAATTTCTGGAGAATCTGGAGCAGGAAAAACTGAAAGCACTAAACTAATTCTTCAATATTTGGCAGCCATTAGCGGGAAACATTCTTGGATCGAACAACAGGTAAAGGAACATACGTATGTTGGTATGTTCATATTTTTTTCATAACTTACAAGACTTAATGTTTAAAATCAAAATGAAATTTTAGATTTTAGAAGCAAATCCAATTCTAGAAGCTTTCGGAAATGCGAAAACAATAAGGAATGATAATTCGTCACGTTTTGGAAAATATATTGATATTCATTTTAATAACAGCGGAGTCATCGAAGGAGCCAAAATCGAACAATATTTATTAGAAAAATCACGTATTGTATCTCAAAACAAAGATGAACGAAATTATCATATATTCTACTGTCTTTTGGCTGGTTTATCGAGAGAGGAAAAACGTAAATTGGAATTAGGCGATGCAAGTGAATATCGATATTTAACAGGAGTGAGTATATACGAAAGTTATATTACGAAAATTAATATATGTACTTTTTTTTCTTTTTTAAAGAAAACAGAAAGAAATCTTGCGCTTAAGCGAGTAGTAATAATAAGAGTAATAATTTGTACGAAATAAATTTTATAACTAATATTTTTTTAGGGTAACAGCATTACTTGCGAGGGTCGTGATGATGCTGCGGAATTCAGTGACATCAGATCGGCGATGAAAGTTCTGCTTTTCTCTGATCAAGAAATCTGGGAAATTCTCAAACTTTTAGCAGCTTTGTTACACACAGGAAATATTAAATACCGCGCTACTGTAATCGATAACCTAGATGCCACAGAAATTCCAGAGCATGTCAATGTACAAAGAGTGGCTAATTTATTAGGAGTACCCGTGCAGCCACTCATAGACGCTCTTACAAGGAAAACTTTATTCGCGCATGGCGAAACTGTTGTATCGACACTATCTAGAGATCAATCCGTAGATGTAAGAGACGCATTTGTTAAAGGAATATACGGTAGACTATTTGTAGAAATTGTAAAAAAAATTAATAATGCAATATATAAACCAAAATCGACGGCACGCAGTGTCATAGGTGTCCTAGATATTTTTGGGTTCGAAAATTTTCATCACAACAGCTTCGAACAATTTTGTATCAATTTTGCAAATGAAAATTTGCAACAATTTTTTGTACAACATATATTCAAGTTAGAACAGGAAGAATATAATTTAGAAGGTATCAATTGGCAACACATCGAGTTTGTAGATAACCAAGACGCATTAGATTTAATAGCAATTAAACAATTGAATATCATGGCATTGATAGATGAAGAGTCGAAATTTCCTAAAGGAACCGATCAAACTATGTTGGCAAAGTTGCATAAGACCCATGGTTCGCATAGAAACTACTTAAAACCTAAATCGGATATCAATACAAGTTTTGGATTAAATCATTTTGCCGGGGTTGTGTTTTATGATACTAGAGGATTTTTAGAAAAGAATAGAGATACGTTTAGTGCAGATTTGTTACAACTGATACATATTTCGAATAATAAATTTTTAAAAATGGTTTTTGCTGATGATATAGGAATGGGATCGGAAACTAGAAAAAGGGCTCCGACATTATCGACGCAATTCAAAAAAAGCTTAGACTCTTTGATGAAAACTTTAAGCAACTGCCAACCATTCTTTATACGTTGCATCAAACCTAACGAATACAAAAAACCGATGATGTTTGATCGCGGATTATGTTGTCGACAGCTCCGTTATTCCGGTATGATGGAAACGATTAGAATTCGAAGAGCCGGTTATCCGATCCGACATGGATTTAGGGAGTTTGTCGAAAGATACAGATTTTTAATTTCGGGTATACCGCCATCGCACAAGACTGATTGTAGATTGGCCACGACGAGGATTTGCGCGGCTGTTTTAGGAAGAACCGATTATCAACTAGGACATACTAAAGTATTTTTAAAAGATGCTCACGATTTATTTTTGGAACAAGAAAGAGATAGGGTTCTTACCAAAAAAATTCTTATCCTGCAACGTTCTATAAGGGGATGGGTGTATAGACGCCGATTTTTGAAAATGAAAGCGGCTGCTACTATCATACAAAAGTATTATAAAGGATATGCACAAAGGCAAAGATATAAAAAAATGAAAGTGGGCTACATGAGATTACAGGCTCTTATCCGAGCGAGAGTATTGTCACATAGATTCAGACATTTAAGAGGACATATTGTCGGTTTGCAGGTATCTAAACTTACAAAATAAATAAAATCATACATTTAATCTTTCAAAAATAAATATAATATATTCATGTATAATAATTGACAATATATTATTAATTTAGGCTCATTCGAGAGGTTATTTAGTTCGAAGAGAATATGGTCACAAAATGTGGGCTATAATTAAAATTCAAGCAAATGTAAGAAGAATGATAGCGATGAGACGATATAAGAAATTGCGTTTGGAATCACGAAGACATCATGAAAATCTCAGGCTACGAAAAATGGAAGAAATGGAATTGAAACATCAAGGAAATAAAAGAGCTAAAGAAATAGCGGAGCAAAACTATAGGGTGAATATATTTGTTTATTAGTAATAATATTTATTTCCATTTTAGGATATAATATTAAACGAACTATTTATATTATACTTATTTATATTATATTTTCTTTTTATTACCACGACCAAATGAAATAATATAAATTTTGATGCAATTGTTAATTTCTTTTTTTTATAGATAGTATTATAACATTGAATTTTATCAATTGACAATAAAATTATTTTACGCGAAATCGAACATATTTTTATAGAATATTAATAAAAATAATTTATTATTACTAATAAGATATGCGTAATGATTTAGGAACGCATGCATGAACTGGAGCGCAAAGAAATGGAAAGAGAAAAGGAAGAACGGCGTCGAGTGGAAGCCAAGAAGAACATAATTAACGATGCGGCACGTAAAGCCGATGAGCCCGTCGATGATTCCAAATTGGTCGAGGCCATGTTCGATTTCCTCCCCGATTCCAGTAGCGAAGCTCCAACACCCCACGGCCAAAGAGAAACATCAGTATTTAATGATCTTCCGACTCAACACCCGGGTGATCAAAATGAGATCATCAGCCCTATGCACATTCCCTCAGAGGACGAAGAAGATTTGTCAGAGTTCAAATTCCAAAAGTTTGCAGCAACTTATTTCCAGGGAAATATTACACATCAGTACTCCAGGAAACCGTTGAAGCACCCTCTGCTACCTCTGAACACACAAGGTGACCAGTTGGCAGCACAAGCTTTGTGGATAACGATTCTTAGGTTCACCGGAGATCTACCAGAACCAAGATATCATACTATGGACAGAGACAATACGTCGGTAATGTCAAAAGTAACAGCGACCTTAGGTCGTAATTTTATTCGAAGCAAAGAGTTTCAAGAAGCACAACTGATGGGTTTAGACCCTGATGCATACGTTAAACAAAAACCAAGATCAATTAGACATAAATTAGTTTCATTGACATTAAAACGTAAAAATAAGCTAGGAGAAGATGTACGTAGGCGATTGCAAGATGAAGAATATACAGCTGACAGTTATCAATCATGGCTTGAATCGAGGCCTACATCTAATTTAGAAAAACTACACTTTATAATCGGTCATGGTATACTAAGAGCAGAATTAAGGGATGAAATTTATTGTCAAATTTGCAAACAACTCACCAACAATCCTTCCAAATCTTCACATGCCCGTGGATGGATATTGCTGTCTTTATGTGTAGGATGTTTCGCACCATCAGAAAAGTTTGTAAATTATTTGCGAGCGTTTATAAGGGAAGGTCCACCTGGTTATGCACCATATTGCGAAGATAGATTAAAAAGAACATTTAACAATGGTACAAGAAATCAGCCACCGAGCTGGTTAGAATTACAAGCAACAAAATCCAAAAAACCAATCATGTTACCTATAACTTTTATGGACGGCAACACAAAAACTTTATTAGCCGATTCTGCAACTACGGCAAGAGAATTGTGTAACCAATTATCTGATAAAATAGCATTGAAAGACCAATTTGGATTCTCTCTATACATAGCGTTATTTGATAAAGTGTCATCTTTGGGAAGTGGAGGTGATCATGTGATGGATGCCATATCGCAATGTGAACAATATGCCAAAGAACAAGGGGCCCAAGAAAGGAATGCGCCTTGGAGACTTTTCTTCCGAAAAGAAATTTTCGCACCGTGGCATGAGCCGACAGAAGATCAAGTTGCAACAAATTTAATATATCAACAAGTTGTGCGTGGAGTTAAATTTGGCGAATATCGTTGTGATAAAGAAGAAGATTTGGCTATGATAGCCGCTCAGCAATACTATATAGAATATAATACAGAAATGAATGTTGAAAGATTGTTTACTCTTTTACCAAATTATATACCAGATTACTGTTTAACCGGCGTGGAGAAAGCGATAGATCGGTGGGGAGCTCTCGTGGTGCAAGCTTACAAAAAAAGTTACTATCTAAAAGAAAAAATTGGAGCTCTAAGAGTTAAAGAAGATGTAGTTAGTTACGCTAAATTTAAATGGCCTTTATTGTTCTCCCGATTTTACGAAGCATACAGAAACTCTGGCCCTAATCTACCCAAAAATGATGTGATTATTGCTGTAAATTGGACAGGTGTTTATGTAGTCGATGATCAAGAACAAGTTTTATTAGAACTCTCCTTTCCAGAAATAACAACAGTATCGAGCCAAAAAACAAATAAAGTTTTCACACAAACATTTAGTTTATCTACTGTACGCGGAGAAGAATTTACATTCCAGAGCCCGAATGCAGAGGATATACGAGACCTAGTAGTCTATTTCCTAGAGGGCCTTAAAAAACGATCAAAATACGTTATAGCTATACAAGACTATAAAGCCCCTGGCGAGGGCTCTACATTCCTGACGTTTATGAAAGGTGATTTAATTATACTAGAGGAAGAAAGTACGGGAGAAATCGTATTGAACTCCGGATGGTGCATAGGTAGATGTGAAAGAACCCAAGAACGTGGAGATTTTCCAGCTGAAACCGTATATGTATTACCTTCAATGACAAAACCTCCTGCAGACATATTAGCTTTGTTTAGTGTGGAAGGTGCAGAACATGGTAGAAGATTATATTCACAAAATTCTATAAATGGGAATGATAGTCGTGATAGACCGCACAATCTTGCCGAATATGCTTTAGATCATTTTCGAGTACCACCTAAACGAACTATGTCCAAAACCTTAACTTTATCTTCGAACAGAAGAGGTTACGATGATCTTTGGCGCCATTCAAGAGATCCAATCAAACTACCTCTACTAAAAAAATTGCAAGCTAAAGAGGAATTAGCAGAAGAGGCATGTTTTGCATACAACGCAATATTGAAATACATGGGCGACCTACCATCGAAAAGGCCAAGGATAGGAAACGAGTACACCGATAACATTTTTGATGGTCCATTAAAACATGAAATACTCAGAGACGAAATTTATTGTCAAATCATGAAACAATTAACGGATAACCGAAATAGATTATCAGAGGAACGTGGATGGGAGTTAATGTGGCTGTCAACAGGTTTATTTGCCTGCAGTCAAATACTTTTGAAAGAATTAACCCTATTCTTGCGAACTAGAAGACATCCTATATCACAAGACTCATTAACTCGGTTGCAGAGAACACTGAGAAATGGACAAAGAAAATATCCACCTCATCAAGTAGAAGTAGAAGCCATACAGCACAAAACGACTCAGATATTCCATAAAGTTTACTTTCCTGATGATACTGATGAAGCATTTGAAGTCGACTCGTCCACGAGGGCAAAGGACTTCTGCCATAATATATCACAAAGACTAAATTTAAGATCCAGTGAAGGATTTAGCTTATTCGTAAAAATCGCAGACAAGGTATAATAAAAAATTCATATACTAAGCTAACAGGTAGTCGTAAGTAGACCTAATGCCTCATATTTTATTTTAGGTCATTTCTGTACCAGAAGGAGACTTCTTCTTTGATTTCGTGCGTCATTTGACTGATTGGATTAAAAAAGCTAGGCCATCACGTGATGGCACTACGCCGCAGTTTACTTACCAAGTATTTTTCATGAAAAAATTGTGGACTAACACTGTACCAGGAAAAGATAAAAATGCGGATCTAATATTCCATTTTCATCAAGAGTTGCCAAAACTTTTACGAGGCTATCACAAATGTTCAAAAGAAGAAGCATCGAAATTGGCGGCTTTGGTGTATAGAGTTCGATTTGGAGAAAGCAAACAGGAACTACAAGCAATACCGTAAGATAAATTGAAATTTTCGTTCATTGTAATATTTCAGACGCATAAAAATTCGTAATTTGAATTGCAGACAAATGCTCCGCGAATTAATTCCTTCAGATTTAATAAAAATTCAAAGTAGTGCAGACTGGAAAAGATCTATTGTCAGTTCGTACAATCAAGACGGAGGTATGAGCCCCGAGGAAGCAAAAATTACATTCCTGAAAATAATTTATAGATGGCCAACTTTTGGTTCAGCATTTTTCGAAGTTAAACAAACTACTGAACCAAATTTCCCTGAAATGCTTTTGATTGCAATTAACAAACACGGAGTCAGCTTAATTCATCCTCAAAATAAGGTAGGTATAAAACAGAATATTACAGGGTTCTAATTTTCTTTTAATCAAAAAATATTTGTCTAGGATATTCTGATAACGCATCCTTTCACAAGAATATCAAATTGGTCATCAGGAAATACCTATTTCCATATGACAATTGGAAATTTAGTAAGAGGATCAAAATTACTATGTGAAACATCTTTAGGGTACAAAATGGATGATTTGCTAACTTCTTATATATCACTGATGCTTACCAATATGAACAAACAGAGGACAATAAGAGTAAAATGATATTGAACGAAGATTCAAATTATAGTAATATGTAAATTAATCATAAAAGTCACATATATATGATTAATAAGATTCATTGTAAAATTAGATAAGCCAATATTTATTTTATAATGTCAATGCTACTCGAATATTTTTGTTAAATATGTGTTAAATGTATCGGTGTACTATGCAATTTTTGAAGTGTGGATAGCGACTTTTATAGAACTGACTGCTGGTATGAGTTCTAAATATTCATAATTTTATATTAATGAGATTTTATATATTATAATGAGTTCTAAATGAAATTGCTTAATATAATGTATTTAATATATTGAAAATTTTCGTTATTTATTAATTATTGTCATTTGTGAAATGTAAATTATTAAAGTTTTAATAAAATATTATTCAAATTATATTTGAACTGTTTTAAGCTACTAGTTTTTGCACTAAATACCAAAGTACCTATAATGCTTTTGCTAATTTTTTTATTGTATTATAATTTAAAACAGTAACGCAAGCATGATTGCATGGTTTAGGAGCAATTCGTACCTACTTCCAATTAAAGAACAAATTTTTATGCACAGATTATACAAAATATTTTCTCAGTGACTGGAGTTTTGCAGTTTTGCAAAAAATCGTTAAGTGCCGTTTTTCGAATTTCAATAATATTTAGAATGTTCATTAGGATCATAAATTTTATCATGAAAAGTTTCATTAACTCGTTAAAAAAACTTTCAATAATTAATTACAAAAAACGTCGAGTTTCATCAAATGGCTTCAAAATTTTTGATAAAGGCTAAAAAGCTTCTTGGGTCAAAAGCCTCGTGAGTCAAAATCAAATTTTGACTCACAGGCACACACATACATATTTTTTTTCAATTTTGGTCTCAAATGATTCAGAATGACAAAATTAAACTCATTCTTCAAAAAGTTAAAAAAGCAATAATTGGTAAATTTGAAATAAGTTTGTTTCATAACTCATTTTTTTCAAATTATATCAATTCAATTTACTATGCGCCAAGCTTTCCAAGCACTTCGAATTGCTTTTCCGCTTTTGCTTGTAAATATTATAGATTATTTAATTTTTTACAACATTATAAAAAAAATTATAATTGAACAACGAAATATGTTTAGCCAATCGTAATGGTTAAACTATTATTATGATACAACATTCAAATAAAAAATAAGGGTAAAATTTATTTATCATTCATTTTGCAAAAATAAGAAAATAGAACATTCGCCCACCCAACAAAAAAACGTTCCACGCAAAGTAATTAAAAATGCGAACAAGATAATCAAGCGTTTATTAATATTCCTATTCTATGTGCATAATTAGTTTTAATTTAATGAATAACTGTTGTATTTTCCCACAGTCTTTATCAAGATTTGTGGCAAAGAAAAAAAAGAAGAATTTTCTCACAAGAAATACTAAAACACACCAACTCTATCTATACAATAAGAGCCTCTGAATCGCAATTATATTGTCAACAGTGCAATTGTTATTGTATGAGACTCTTCTAAGGTCAATGATTGTATTTCTTACAATTGAAAAATCCTTTATGAAGAAATTTATCTAGAATGTGTATTATTACTTATTCCGACAGACTAAATATTTCATTCAATTTATAGCGTTCCACTATCTGTGGTATGTTGTGAAGAGAAAGAGGATTTAAATAATATTGTACACAATTACCTTCGAATAAAAGCATTCAAAACAAAAAGACACAAAAATGTATCTTGGAAATCAACGCAGTATATGCAGGTTACAAAATACTGAATTTTTATGATCCAATAGGAAAATCAACAGCTTTTACGACGTCGTGAACTGATATTTAAATTATCGAAAATTTTTGTTGTTTCAGTAAAGTTTCTGGAATTGGTATAATATTTTATATGAAAATTCATGAGCGACGCAAACGCGTTTCATAGCATATGTAATGCAAGTGTGTATTAAACAAATTAATTTTAAGTCGGGGACATTCTTGGCGTTTGGATAAGACAAATAATAGAAGCTCAAGACAAAAAAGGCACTCAATCGTTTGAATGATTAAGTAAAATTGAGGAAGAAACTATTGTTGTAATAAAAAATACCTGTGTTTTTCAAATTCAATCCTCTATTTGTTCTTTTAGTATTTTTTTTAAATATAAAGTAAAATAAAAATAAGTTAATTTTTTATATAATTAACAAAATTATCTGAACGTTAATAATTTGAACAAAAACTATATAAATTTAATCAAAATTTGGTTTGTTAATGAAATTTCTATTCTCTTCAATCTAGTTTCGGTTTGCCGAACCAAATTACTCGCTTACGTTAGATTAAAAAGCGACTTGAACGAAGCAAAATATGTATTTCCAACGTATGATCAATTCGATCGAGTGTTCAGAGCATATACACATGGCCATAGAGATACACTGTGTGAATTTAGTTCCTATAATTGCCATAATAAAATACCCATTATTTACCACTTGCCCTTTCAACTATCGTTCTCCGCTAGTTACGATGCTGCGCACGGTGACCCCACGGGTCGGCCCAAGTCTGACTCCAACTCCAACTCTATCTGCGCGCTACTGCCGGAGCCGTGAGGTCACATGTTTAATAGTATATATTTAATAAAAACATACAAACTAATTTCAATGCTGTAAAACACATCTTCCCATAGTTTGAATATAATAAATGTATGTAATGTATGTTGTATACGAAGCTTCTTAATGAAGCGTGGGAACCCATAGGAATAAATGGAAAATGTAAAGCGCTTCTTCATGAGCGATGATGGTAGTCATCTCATTGTTGGCTATTATTCGACGAAATATTTATATTTGTCGATATATAATTATATTAATTATACACTGTTTCAACGTTTTTATAAAAGTAAACTCAAGAGTAAATAGCATTAGATGATGGAGTAGCATTGATTTATATGCAAATTAAACGCTTTTCAGTGATAAATTAGATAAAATAATTTTATTAAGTTAGCGAGTTTACCTTTTTTATTTCTTTAACGTTCGAATTCATAATCCGACAATACTAGCGGAGGTACACAATCATTTTTTTTTTTCAAAAATAAATATAATTTTTTTCAAAAATATTTTTTTTTCTTAAAAAATTTCACAGCATTTGTTTAAGGCGTTCGTTATTTTAAGAGTTTCCAATCATTATGAAAATGCATTAAAATTTCGAAAGAACTAACAATCACATTAACAAATTATAGTTTACAATAATTTAACCCAGATTGATAAATCTTTGAGCAAAAGCCGACACATTGTATGTCTTCTATAGTAACTCTTGTACACAGGTCGTCAAGCGTATGTCGCCTTTAGATGACGCTCGTAACGAAAGGGTTAATATTATTGAAAATTTAATTGTAAAAAACATAAAATATCAATTGACCCATATGAATTAATATAATTCGTCTAACACTCATTATTTTAAAAATCATTGCAAAAGTAATTAGCAATAAGCAATATTTGATATCCATCAAACAATATTATGGCAAATGGCAATCAATCTTCAAGCAATAAATTGTCAAATTTTTAATCGGTATATTGTGAGATTTAGAATTTTTGAAAATGAAAAAAATCTAGTATAGAGAAATATCTTCAATAATATTCATCAATACTTAGTAAAAGTTAAACTTCCCAATAAAACAAATCCAAAGAAAGTTTTCCTAAAAAAAATCCTAAAGAAACTTTGAAGACTTCTCCGTGAAAGAGATATTGAATCCAGCTATATTACAACCACGTCAATAATAAAATTAATAAAAATTTGATCAATATAAAAACTCTCAGTTCCTTCTTAGCATCTTCCATAAAAATCATTGTTACAATTACATTCATCAATAACAAATCTTGGAATATTTCTCCGAAACCAGTGTGTTATAATAATAATTAGCCCTCAAATGGAGCGTGGAAGGTTGTCCATTGAATAAAAACTGCAACAAATTTCTCCGCCCCTGTAACTAAATGAATTATTGAATCGTCCTGGCATCGTAGCACGAGGTGCCCCGTTGAATCCGAATTAAATCAGAGGCCCCTCTCCTTTATTTTTCCATGTGAAACTCGGCACTTTAATTCTTCACTTCCACGACGATATAGGGAGCGTGAGAACTGTGGGCTACCCGGACGTCTTATGATCTTATTTGAAGATAGAACAATAGCGAATTATACAAGAAGAAAAGAAAAAAATATATAAAACGGTGCATTTCATTTCAATGCCGTTCTCATCTTAACAAGATTATGATTACAATAAATCTTAATGATACTAATTTGAGTAACTAATGTGAGCATTTGTGAAGGAGTACTTCCGTTCCATTTCGACAGTGCATTTTATTCAAAATCGCTGGTTACATTATTCCAAGTATCATTTCCACTGTCAAACATCCTGTCAAACTTACTTAAAGTGCTTAATAATAAACAAATTTTATATATTTATTTTATTATAAAATTTATCTTCATTATATTTTATTTACATAGATCATAGATATATCAGAATATTGTATCTTTCTCTCTCGAGACTTATGTATAAATGTATTATATCCGTCTAAAATTTTTTAAAATTACTCTATTAAACTACATACAGTGTAATTTCAAAATATTTCTTTATAAAAGAATATAATTCGCCCTACAGATAAAATTAATTTACCTTAAACTATAAAACATTTTGGTACAACTAAATTGTGAATAACTAAAAAACATATTTGGTCATAATAATTCTTGACACACATACTTGAACATAATAACGAAGCTTATGTCATTTTTTTAACAAAGAATTTGTTGTACTAAAACGTATTACTTGTATTTTTTTGTAGATATATATATATATATATATATATATATATATATAAATACTAATTAACTAACACGCATAAATAAATAAATCTTAAAACATTCACATTGTGCTTTTTACGATATAAAAATATTACATAACACATTTGCAATTTTACACACTTACATAGTTATAATTTTATTACAATTAAGATACTACTCTATTTATTATATAAATATGAAAATACTATTTTTCAATATAAAGTGACCTGGCAAAGATTATATAAATATAACTAATATTTGCATTTTACACACATTTGTCACATATGTAATATCATGATGCCTAATATATTAGTGATTACGATTTATGTACAATATATATCGATGACAGAAATTCTTCAATCAATGATTTTATTGATTTCATGATTAATTTAAAATCATTAATTTTAATTTATTTCAGTTTGTAGTAGTTCCAATAAAAAAATGTTCATCTCTAGTTGACGAAATGGGAAAAATCTATTCCCTGTTCATACTTTATAATCGTAGTTCGTTCGCATTCACATCGTCCATATTCGCATATATTCATTGATGTCAAAATTTATATTAGTATTATGATCTATTCAATGATTGTGAACCTCGGGGTCTCGAAAATTATGCAGGCAGGATGATATGATGAGTACAGCATGTTGATTTGAAAATTTGCTTTATGTAACGAAGCGTTTGCGTCATATCTGACGTCCGGGTAACATTGTTTTGTAAAAATACTTCAAAATTATTCACTAAATATGTAATAATGTTCACTAAAATTGCTTTATATTAAAAGCTATTTAAATAAACGTGCTGAGGATCGGCTTAATTAGAGTGGAAATATATCGAACATTAATTAGTTTTTTCCCCAAACTCGGAATAAATGTTAATGTCATAATTAATTTGCAACAGGGTTTGCTTCTATAAATCGCATTTAAATCAAACTTGTAATGTAATATGATATCAAAATGAAACTTGTACTTTTTAAAACAGGTTATCATATACTTATCCAATCGTAGTAATATGATGCTCAATTGTATTTGACTGGGTTTTAAGTTTACGAATATTTAAAATATAAATACATATAATCAATAAACAATATTTCCGGTTTAATTAGTGGCATGCAGTCATATAGCACTAAAATAAATTATTTATAAAGGCAGTAAATAAAATTTAACCTAAAGTAGATAATCTCATATGGAACGGATTGCACACACCAACAATACGATAATTTAATAGCTCATTTAGATCATACATAAATAATAATTATTATTTTGCATAATTATATGCATTAATCGTCGAAGTCGAACTATAATAATTTATGTATGCGTTTTCCTCAGTTCGGCATCTTCATAGCTTCTTCTGCCAAATTTCTCCTTTAGCAAGACATAGAGTTAAAGAAATAGAATTAGAATAGCGGAGCGACAAAAATAGCTAACAAAACCAAATAGATAAAGATAAAACTAAAAACGAAGAAATTGATAGTAGATGCAAAGTACCATGCAAACCTTATGTGTACTTTTAAAAACTACAAATAACCTACAGTTGAGAAGTGAAGTATGAGTTGTGAAAGAATAAATAATATCGATAAATGATAACAGGCATTGGATACAGACATTGCAAAGGCATTTTGATGTTTAATAGTGACTGACACTTATGATTTATCGTTATCAGCACACCTAATCAATAAAGAAATGAACCATTTAATAAAATGACATGTGACCACTTTGTGACTGAATTGGAAGAAGCACGCATCGACGTCTTAGAAAGGACGACCGGCCGGCCCAGCGCGATACGGCTATGCGACCTCTTGGTAGCCGAGGCGTGAATGTCAAGGTCGGCTTGGGATAACGTTCCCACGCTACATGGCGCGACGTCCGAGAAAAGACGCAGCAAGAAGAGGAACGAAGGAACCTGTCAATAGATGTATGAGCAAACGTATGTAGAATCGCGGATCTTAGAGATTGGCGCAGATTAAGAAAATGGGCAGCAATTGAAAAGTTGATCTGACTGTTGGAACAAATCGCAGAATTATTAAATCTTCTTGCTAGAGAAACAATTACAACATTTAGCAATTCGGTTAACGAACCATTTAAAAGTATAAGGAAAACGACACAAAGCTAAAAACTACTAAGTGAATACACCCCGTTGCATAAAAACCGTGTAACTCGAAAAATTCACTTTTATATAAAAAAAAAGTGTTGAACAAAAATCAATTAAAAAAAGCCCTTTTTATTATATTTGATATCAAATACATTGAATAAATTATAGCTTAATTCAAAGAATCAAAATTATCAACATCTATTATTCTTTCATTATTACAGAGATAGTTCAAAATTTCAATTTTGGTTAAAAAAAGATAAAACTTTTCTTTCAATCCTTAGCTCTTCACTTTTAGCTTATGCATTGTCAAACTATAAAATTTTATATAAATTATAGATTTTGTAAAAAAATGATACTGTAATTTGCTAACCTTAAATAAATTTACGCTATCAATTACATATAAATATGTGCTAATTGAATGATAACTGATTATTTTGGCATTTCAAACAAACTAGCTTATGCACACATCAAAATTTAGTTTTTATCATAAAATCGGGAATTCCCAACATATCTACATTCAATTTCTATCACAGACATAGTCTATGTACTGAAAATTCGTAACTCTAGCATTTTGTAGTGTTGTATTTTGATAGTAAAACAATGAACATGTTATTGTAGATATAAGCAAATTATATTTAAATGTTTATAATTTCGTGTAAATGCAATTTTAATGAATTTCATTTTAAACAAAGTAGATTTTCAAAAATGATGTGAGTAAAACGGGGGTGATAGGTGTATTTATAAAACTCAAACAAGACAAGAAAGTGCGATTACTGTGTAAAATGCAAGAAGAAAATACCTAATAAAATAATGTCTGTCTAATCGCATTCCAGTAAAATTAATCATGCATATATATAATAAGCGTAATTTACATATAAAATTGTAATGAATCAATAAGATGTTTCAACTGTTTTTGTTAGTATTCAATCTTTATTACAACGCATACCTACAACACAAAAATAGTTTGTCAATCAATAACTTAGACAACAAACTTAACTAATAATACATTACAGTATCAATAAAAAATAAATGATCGTTATTGATCCATTAAGAGAATTATTTAGAGAATTATTTATGCTTTATAACTACATTCTACGCTTAATATGTGATCGAATAAACTTGATGTTTGAAAGTTATTTGCAAATGTAGACATATCGAATAATATCACGGAAATTCGAAATTATGTTTCAAACTAGGTGTAAGTATTATTTTGCCTTAGGGAAGGTTGCATGAACTTCCCGATATGTGTAAATAATCGACTTAATAAGAATTAATATATATATATATATATATATATATATATATATATATATATTATCATATGATGTTCGGAAATAAACTCTTATCACATTCAAAGTTTCAACAAGGCTGTCAAAAAATTACGAGGTAACGATTAGACTAATCTTTACTATAAACGAATAAGCACTATTCACAACTGATACCTTTCGAGCGGTTTTTTGAATTTTCAAAACTGGTTCAGTTTTTTTTCCGACGATGACGACAAGAAAATTAGCACTTTTCTGGTAATTCTGAAGAGAGATCTTTATCGAGATTCCTAGAATGACTTTAAAATGTTTGAAATCAATTCAGCAGTTTTTGAAAATACGTCGACGAAAGGTTCAACTAACTTACACACGAGAGTGCGTATACACACATACACACCCAATTTGGTTGTCGAACGATTTAGAATGACTCGAAACGTCGAAAAAACAAAACTAGCATGTTTTCTTGCGAAAACAACATCTCAAAAAGTTGATTAATAAAAATAATGTAGAAAACAATCACAAAGAAGATCAAGAGTTTTAGCAAAATAGAGTTGTAGGGTCAAATACAATAATTAAAAATTCAGATTGCTGATTGACGTTGAAATAAAAAATTTCTTTGGCGACATATAATTTGTTTTGTATTTAACAATTTGCATGCCCCTTATGATTCCATTTAAAAAATTCAAGCGTATGTATGAAGCAAGTATTGTTAAATGCATTTAAATAATATGAATTTCTACATTTGAGAATGCAAAAAATATGGTCTAAAATGCATGGTAAGCAAAAGAATTCAAGAAATGCAGCTGTACGACACATACTTTAAGCACGTACTAAAACATACGTGATGTGATACGAAATCGATAAAACAATACAAATGGTGTAATTCTACAAACATAATATATATATATATATATATATATATATATATATATAAAAGTGTTCATAAAAGTGCAATTATATGTTACTATAGAGAAATTCTAAATATTCGTCAATAGCTTGCCATAAATCTACGAATTGATTTGTTATATATGACATACCTTGTTCTATCATGTCATCTATTCTATTGCATACACCCATGAGCACCCCAAGGTGGCGCAGTAGCGGCGGCCGTGGCTCTCGGTCTCATCACCTCTTCGGCGGTAGGACAGTGTGTCCTGGGCCCAGGCTCCGGTGTATACGTGAATGTTAAGCCAGTGGCATATATAACACCATCATTACGAACTAAAGACACGGGCACCTGAAAATATATTAAATAATATTGATTATTAACAAATAAGTATTTAAATAATGCTTAAATTAAATTTATCTTGAAAATTGTTAGAAGCTACGAGTCTTACCTGTGTAGGCTGGTGTGCCCAAAGCGTGTCTCCACCGCAAACCGCGGCTATGTCAGGTACAACACATAACATGGATTCGGCACATCGATACATGGTGTCCGAAGCCGCATCTCCAAACCAAACTTGAAGAGACGGCGTAAAATTATCGCCGGTCAATTCGAGCATTGCGACATCTCCGCCGCCGTTGAGATTCAAAGCATGCACCGTGGGTACAGGTGTTACCGGCGACCTGAAAATAAAAATAATTATATATTATACATATATAATATATATGTCTGACATAAGCGATTTGGTAGAAGGCCACGCCAATCATAGATGTCTGATTTTTTTTCTTTGACACAATAAGTTTCCTCGATACATTTTTATCTAAGTTACTTAATAAAGTTATCATGACCCATGTGAATTTTTTTCTGATATTATCGTGGCGATTAACGTGTTAAACAACATGTTATAAGTGAATAATCGTGAAACAATTATAAACTTAACAATCATGAACGATTAGGATTTTTCCAACATTTTTTTAATAATTTACATAATTATGCCAAAAGTTAGTTAAAAAATCAATTATTCAATTACTAAACAATAGTCTGTTTAACCCTCCGTCGGTCGGAAATTTTTTCACCTTCGAACGGTCGGAAAGGTCTGGCTGGACCACCATTCATTTTACATGCACTTATATGGGATAAACGAGTTTTTGATGTCTTATATATTAACGATTATAGTAATAAATATTTATAGTTTTGTTTTTTTTCTTTTTCTTACCGTCTTTTGCATGTGTTGAGCTTGCTTATAATAAAAATATTACATATTATATTATATAAAAAAATCAAGAAATATAAAAAAATCGTTGCTCTTTTTGTTAATTTTTCTGTTTTATATCAATGAAAAACAATATTCTTTTTCGGCGCCTTTGAAATGAATGTAAAATTCGAATGAAAACGAAATGAGGTGCGTCGCCTTTGAAATGAGCTGTAAAACTCAAAGTGAAAATATAATTTCACTACAGGTTTGCCAAAAAAAAATTCGTACGCAGTACGGGTAGAAAAATTGTTGATAATGTGTGCATTGCTCATCCGATTTTCAGTGTTTGCGATTACCAATAAGTTTGGTAGATTTTCAAGCAAATCTCGTCATGAAAATACTAACATTCATGTTACAACACATAGCAAAGAATATATACAACCATAGATAAACAAGTATACAACGCAGTTTGAATAGAAAATAGAATGAAAAAAGACAAAATACTGGTTTACATATATCAAAAAACGTATATTTCATACAAAATGTATGGGTGGTCTAGGCAGACCTTTTCGACCGTTCAAAGTATAAAAAAGTTAATATCCTTATAATTATCCTTTTATACATTTTTTCGTCCTGATTTTTTCATTGATCGACAGCTAATGAAATTTTAGGAAAAGTCAAGAAATTTCAAGTCGATAGGATTACTAGAAGTATTTTTTTTTTAAATTGAAGTCGAAAAAAGTCTGGCCAGACCACGCCGACCGACGGAGGGTTAATAATACATAGGTAACAATAAAAAAACAGAACAATATTGAATACATCATTGTTTCAAATTTTCATCATCGTTGGTTATATAATAAATAAATATAAATACTAATATTAAGTCTACGTTCCCGGGCAATTTACTTATTACTAGCTAAAACGGATATTCAGATTGTCAGCAAATATTAATTTTTATACAGTCATTTCAATTTGTGCCGGATGGAAAGTCATTTGGCCATTCTGATTTGTTCCCAGGCTAGAAACACGACAGCAGCTAAGCCGCAATTTGATATTGTCTGAATCACAATGAATGATAGTTAAAGAAAACTATCAGCGAATGAATAATACGAAAAAGAATTCACACGGCCCAGAAATATAACTATGTGTATGTATAATAAGATTTTAAATCAGTGGTTTGTTATAAAATTACTATACTAGACAAAGACAACTCTAAGATAGACTAGTGGTGCATGGCATCGTGCCATGCAAATTGCAAAATCATGTAGCGCAGTGACTTCCAACCTGTGGGGCGCGCCCCCCTGGGTGGGCGCCATACCGTCCCAAGGGGGGCGCGAAGCTATTTCAAAAATAATATTTTTAAATGCTGAGTAAGTGTCAAAAACAAATCAACAAATTACTTAAAGTACTTCTAAGAGTGTTTGAGCTCAAAAAAGAAATTGCTATATTTCTTGTGATAACAAAAGAGACGGAGCAATCTTGTTTTAGGACACAAAGTTCCTCGCAAAATTTGCGTATTTAGTTGATATTTTTCAAAGACTTAGCGATTTAAATAAATCAATGCAAGGATCTCAAATTCGTGCTTTTGTTCAGAAAGACAAGATTACGGCTTTTATGAAAAAATTAGAACTGTGTATAGCTAGTATCAAATAACTTTATAACTTTAACATGTTTCCCACTTTTAAAATTACTTGTGTTACTGATGAAGTAGAAGTAAGTAAAGATCTTATTATTATATCAGTCAAATGACTAGTCTACGAAACCAATTTTCGCATTGCTTTATCTAATTACGTCCAAATACGAATGGATTAGAAATCCATTTACCATTGAGAAACATGATGATTTTGGTAATTCAAAAGCGGAGCAGAAAATGATAATTGATTTATCTAGTAATAGCACATTGAAGCAGATGTTTCAGGACGAAAATATTTTGTTAAGTTTTGGTTACCAGTAAAAGACGATTTTGCTACTTTGACAAATAATGCTTTAGAAATTTTATTACCATTTGTGAGATCTTACTTATGTGAAACAGAAAATTCTTATAATAAATAGTTATGTTTGTATGTATATTTTTTATAATTTCAGTTATGTTAAGTATATTAAAATTAAATTGTTAGAAAAATAAGAAGGGGGGGGGGCGCAATATTTTTTTCATTCGAAAGGGGGGCGCAAGGAAGAAAAGGTTGGAAACCGCTGATGTAGCGTATATTAAAAATTTTACTAAATTATTTTTTGAGAACTGAAATTTTCTTCTTGAGAATTTTGCCAATTTAAAAAAAAATTATGTTTTAATTTTTTTTTTTTTTTGGAGCTATCGGGCCGCGTAGCTGTTTTAGAGACAAAATATCAAAGCGCGTCGCAGACTAACGGTTAAAGATTATTAATCTTGGGACGAAACCTTATTTATTTGTAACTATTATTAAATTTTCTATAAAATATCTGATAATTTAATGAGCGACATATGCAATGATTTTTTCGGACCGCCAAATGACTTTTTTTTCCTTTCTCTATTGGATCAACACAACCGCTGGATTTGCTTTCCTAAAAATTTAATCAGTTCTTTATTTCGTCAATATAAATAAAATGATTTTTGAATAATTCAAATTGGACGCTGGGTTAAACAAAAACTGAATTAGCATTTTTGGCACTTTTTGCCTCCTATTTTAGAAAAAACTATATTTACTTATAATATGATCAAAATATATCAAAATAAATCTTATAAATTATATTACATATAGTTAGTGAACATAGTTTTTCCTAAGTGGTGACCCCGACATTATCTTTTTAATTCCCGCTCACTAGCCTTCCATTTTCATGTCGCCGTGTCTTCGAAACGGCTTTGCCAAAAACTAATCAGCACGTCTCCTCATCATTGCAAATCGAATGTTTTTTGAATTACTCAAATTGTATGATCCGTGTTCCCGAAATCGTCGACCAAAATTGGTATCCGCACATACAGTCATACATATAGTACACACACACATACATCCCTTTTTCCAAGGTATGCCAAAATTGAACATTTTTGGAAAATTCTTCAAAACGTACAGATACGCAAAAAATCATTTTCGATTTTTTGCGATAACTATTACTAACCCTACGGGAAATTAAAAATCGCATAGAAAAATAATGTTTACAAAATTAAAATATTTAAAGTGCCCTATACCGTTGTAACTAACATAATAAAAACTGATTCGTACAATATGACAAATATTTATGTAATATCTAATAAACGAAATTCGAGAACTTTTTGTGTAAAACGGGTTTAAAAAAAAAGCCAAAGAAAAAATATAGTATAAAATAATTCATTTCCTCAAAACATAAAGACTTGCATATATTATTACCTGAAAAACTTTTAATTTTACATTTAACACTCTCAAATAATATATCAGCTGGATCGAGGGTCATAAAAATCAATATGATCATCTATTGTATTTTCGCCCTATGTCATTATTCGCTTATTCGTGACCCTAAATTTACAGAACCTGTATAAAATGTTTTGAAGCAAAGGCTGTTTGAATATAAATTGAATACGCTAAAGCGTAGGTTGAATATTTAAATTCTGAGTGGTTATTTTGATTTAATTTCGAAGGGATTTATCTACTGAAAATTGTTTTAGATTTAAGCTGCCTTATTTATAAGAATCACATGTTCCTAATAATAAATTATTGATAATAACAATAAAATTAATTCCTTTCGGCAATACGTTACGCATTATAATAAATATAACATTATTAGAGATATGAGAAAATGTGAGATTTTCAGAGCTCAGAGATTTTTTGGAATTAGATTGAGGTTGAGATTGATATTGAGATTAGATTGAGGATTATGTGCTTTTGACTAAACGTTGACATTAGGTAGATTTATGAATGAATAAAAGGCAATCGGTTTCGGCATTCCTTACCTGACTGGTCCCATTCCCTCGTAAAACTGGTATTCTGCCTTATCCGTGGATATGATGGTCCAGCAAGCGCCGTCGTTGATCATTTCCTTATTCGGCTCTTTTGGACAAGGTGTTGCTTGGAATTGAATTATTCGTTCTTGTGACAGGCAAAGATACATGCGTTCCGTATCTTTCATATAAAATGCACATTTGTGCAATTGCGATACGGGGTCGTCGGCTTCGAGCAATGCCATTTGTTTATCCACTTTTCGTATTATCAATCTCGGTAGCGCCATTCCAGTAACGGAACATACTAACTTTACCGTGGAGCCGTAATGTACATAACCATCTCGGACTTGAAATTCCTCACTTTCGCTCTCGTTATCGTCTAGTAAATGAATCGTAAAAGCTCCCCATTGTGTGGAACTCGCGTGAAAATTTCCGTTTTCCACATGAAGATACCTTGTGGAAACTGTTTGAGACCGTAATCGATTAAATAATGCTACTTTAGTACCACTGGCTATACAGAGATCGGCATTTTTCAAAGATTGTTTCTTTTTTGAAGGTTTACTTATAACTTTTATTCTTTTACTGTTAAATACACCTATGTCATGTCCTGAACCATAAAACATTTTAACTGACAGCATAAAGTGCTTACGTTTGTCAGAATCAGAGATATATAGTGTCTTTGCCGCACAATATTGTTTACCATTATTTAAATCTAATTGTTGCATATCTTGATCCGAATTTCCTATTCCTATAAAAGCGCAAAGTTGTGCTGCTTGTTCGCTTTCGCCTTCTCTCAGTAATTGTTCCTGTCGCATTCTCCAACCTTCGCCAAAAAGATATATACAAGGCGGAGGGCAGAAAAATCTTTTTTCGTTACCGTAAGATTTCTGTGCTACTTTTGCATGTAATATAACTATTACCATATCCGACCTTTCTCGCAGGTATTTCTTCATAGCTTCTGTCGTTAATCTTTGATCTTCCGACCTGTAAGCACCCGCTCCAGGGACCGAAGCCCCAGACAGACGAGGAAACATAGCGCCGTGTTGCCCAGAAATTTGCGGTGGCGAAGGGGGCGACTGTGCTCCGTGTGCGTAACCAGTCAAACCGTATTGATGAGGCATTATTTACACTATTGATCAATAAGCTACTATTATAACAACATTTTAAATTTGTACCTACGGTCGACGCTTGAAATTGTTTACAACACATATAGGTTAGGTTTTGAACTGTCACTGGTGTTGCGGCGTTTTGAGGCGCTTCGCAAACATTCTACGAACCATTTTAGCTTTAAATCATCACAACACGTAAATTTTAAACTTTTATGCCACTTTAAACATATTATCTATGTATTTTCTGTGTAAAAGATGCATTACAACATACCGTTCAAAAAACACCTGTTCACGCTGAGAATTTTCCGACAGTTTGGTAACATGAGCATATTAATTATATTACCAGAAGGCCAACTAACAAACACTAAAATATCATCATAAAATGTCAACAGACGATTTTACAAATTAAATGCAATTTAATATATTATTTAACTTTCTTTCTAATTTCAATTTAACATCGTGTTTTTATCTATCTTGAAAATTGTACGACAACTCTGGCGTTCAATTCTTGCTGTCAAACTAAACTACTGTGTTAGTTTTTGAACAATCTGCTCGCTCGTTCCCCCACTAGTTATTCTTTGCTCTCTTTCTTTGTGAATTTCTAGATTGTAATTAGTTTTGTGTAACAAGTACTAAGTGGGGCTCGTGTGTTAGTAGTAAACAAATGTTTTGACACAAGAACTTTGCTGATTTTGAAGTTAAATGATTTTATAATGCCATTCTTTGAATTTAGATAACTGGTTTCATTCAAAATTTTAATTACAATGATTGTTTAACAACATAAAGTATTTGCTTCAATTATGGGTGTAACGGGTTTGTGGAAACTTATAGAGCCTGCAGGACGCCCAGTTCCACTTGAAACATTAGAAAACAAAGTTCTTGCTGTTGGTATCCTTTTTATTTATAATCTTTAATAAACTTGTCGATTATTACAAGAACTGACAAATGCTTTTTCCAATGTTCAATAGTTTGTTTTCATTACTATAATTCCTTATAAAATAATTTAGATATCTCGATATGGATACATCAAGTAATCAAAGGCTTTCAAGATTCCCGCGGTGGAACTGTACCCAATGCTCATTTACTTGGTCTCTTCAACAGACTCTGTAAACTATTATACTACAGAGTCAAACCTGTCTTTGTATTTGATGGAGGAGTGCCTAATTTGAAAATCCAGACAATCGTTAGTATAATATATAAACTACAATTTATTTTATACAAAATAAATTGTATGATTTATTGTTTCACAGGCAAAAAGAAATCAATTAAAAAATAAGTATGTGAGTGAATCAGAACGAATACAGCAACAAATTCTAAATACTCTAGCCAAACATAAGGCTGTTCAACACTTATTAAAAGGTCAAATTAAAAATGTATCTCCTAAAAAAGCATCTCCAGAGAAAGCAGTAAGTTCAAAACTAGATGGAGATGACGATATGTTCAAATTACCGCCAATAGTTTCACAAGGTAAATATAATGCATATTCACATATATACATATTATATTTATTATATCTAAATTGTAGAATTAGTGGAAGATATTGTATCGGAATCTGAATCTGAAGTTGATACTAGTCTTGAAAATACCAGCTGGACCGATTTACATACTGTCGACGTAGAAAGTAAAGAATTTAAAAGTTTACCATTAGAAACACAATATGATATTCTACAAGATTTGAAAGAATCTCGCAAGCAGTCATCATGGGGTCGCATACATGAATTGCCAGACCAAAGTGATGATTTCAGTTCGTTTCAAGTAAATATTCATTAATTTTGTGGAAGTTTATTAATAGTATATTCTTTTATTATCATAAATTGTATTATAATATTGACAATTAATAAAATATCACAGATGAAGCATTTACGAAAGAGACGAGCTGTCCAAATGACACTCGATGAAGTGGAAAAAGAGATGGGTGGGCATTCATTATCTATAACTGATTTAGAAAGAATTTTAACAGATGAAGGAATATTAGCCGCTGAAGAAAGTTCCGCTACTAAAAAAATTACGAGCCATGATTCAAAGAAATATTTATATATTAAAGACTTAAAAGCAGCTATTTCAGAAGCGCTTAAAAATAAAAAGGATGATGAGCCTAGTACTAGTAAATTACCTAGAATCGAAGAAATTAGCAGTGAAGATGAATATGAGAAACAACTAAGAAGCAAAGTTGATCATGATTTACAAGTTTTGTTGTCCCAGAAGAGAAAAGACAGTTTAGTAAATGCAGATGTTGAAAATCTAAGACCCAAGACCAAAGATTCATCACAAATAGATGATAACTTAGGTTCAGAATTTGATGAGGATTTACAAGCTGCGATAAAATTATCTTTGCAAACAGACAATTCAGAAGTAACTGATATGCTATTTGAAAGTTTTAATGAAACATTAGACGAATCGAACATTTATGAACCTGAATCTAAGAATATGGCTTTAGCTCGAGCATACATGATGGAAAATAGTGATTTAACTCAAGAAGAAATTCATAGATTAATTCGAGAAACAAATAAGAAAAAAATGGCCAGAGGTTCACATAAAATCAATATAGATCACATTCTAAAAAATTTACCAGCTTCAAAACCAAAAGAAGAAGTGGAATCTCATTTTATAAAACAGGAGAGTGTATTTTATAAGGAAACTGATTTAAAAATTAATTCAGAAATAAAATCAACAGAGGAGTCAAGTGAATCTGATAATGATTTTGTTGAAGTATCGAGCATCAAAGAAAATAAACCTGAAATGCATGAAAATAAAAACAAATCTATTATAACTGTATCAAGTGATTCAGATTCTGATTTTGTAGAAGTTGCCGCAGAAACAAATGTTCAACCTATAGAAATAATTATTAAAAAAACTGAGAATGTTCAAGACGATATCTTTGAAGATATATTTAATGAAATCGATCATAAAAAAAACGAAAAACCTGAAAAATCAGTATTCGATCTATTATTAAATATGAAACCTCAAAATAAAGTGCAGTTGAAAGTTGAAAATGAGTTAAAAGATAATGAATTAAATGACAGTATTACAGAAAGAATAAAATTATCTCTTGAAGTAAAAGTTCTAACTGAAGAATTAACTCCCAACTCAATAATAAAACCCAATGATCAAAATGCTCTGGATGAAGTTAATGCAAATGAAGTAGAAATTAGTGCTGAACATGAAATTGTTACTATTGATGAAGAAAAGGATTTATTAACTTCTGAAATTCCTATTCATGATATTCAACTTTCGTGTGATAAAACTGAAAAAACAATTATAATATCTAATGTCCCTGCCTCAGATGATTCAAAAACTGATAATACTAAAAAACTTAGTGACATTGAATGTAAAAATCTTATAAATGGATCGAATGTGTTGAATGAGGACACAAAAAGTCTCATCAATGATAATGAAAATAAGAAGAATGAACTCACTAATGACCCTGCTAGCTTTGAAACACCAGAAAAAAATGAACCTGCACTGGTTGTAGCACCAATGTCAACCAAAGAACTTGAAACTATTTCAGATCAATTACAAAAAGAAACTAATCAGCTAATGCTAGAAAAGTCCAAGCAGGATCGAATGGGTAATACAATTAGTGAACAAATGACTAAAGACATTCAGGAATTGCTACAATTATTTGGAATTCCTTATATCATAGCCCCAATGGAAGCTGAGGCACAGTGTGCTTTTCTTAATGAGATAAAGCTCACTGATGGCACTATCACAGATGACAGTGATATATGGTTGTTCGGAGGAAAAACAGTTTATAAGAATTTTTTCGATCAAAAGAAACATGTCATGGAGTTTAGATCTGAAAACATATTCAACCACTTTAGTAAGTGTATTACTGGCTCATTACAAAACTTAGACGTCAATGACTTTATATTTGAATTTTTAATTTCAGAGCTAGGCAGAGAGCAACTAATTCAATTTGCATTATTAGTTGGCAGTGATTATACAACAGGAATTCCTAACGTTGGCCCAGTCACAGCTTTAGAAATATTAGCTGCTTTTCCTTCAGAAGTAATATAAAGTATCCTGAATATTAAAAATGAATAAACCATTAATTCTAAATGATATTAAAAAATTTACAGGATGATATATTATCAGGTTTAAAAAATTTCAAGATTTGGTCTGAAAAGGGTTTTCCTGCTGCACCTGGAAAGACCGCACTTATATCTAAATTAAAAAAAGTGAATTTATTTGATGGATTTCCTAGCATTCATGTATGATTTATCAAAATGTATCATTTATTAATTGCATAAGTAACTAAGTACGAGTTACTGTATTAGGTGGTCAGAGCGTATTTGGATCCTACAGTTGAAACAAGTAAAGAACCTTTCCGATGGGGTCAGCCAGATCTTACTGTCTTACGAGAGTATACAAGAACCAAGTTTGGATGGACCACAGCAAAAACAGATGATATATTGAAACCCGTGATTGCAAAAATGAATATTAAACAAACACAGAAATCTATTAAAGATTTTTTCCATATAAGGGATCTTAAGGTATTATATTTATTTACATAATTCTTAAATAGTACTTAGATATTAAATATATGTTAAATATAAATTAAATGCAGTGGTAATTTGGCACATGAGTTTAATTCGTTTTGTAACCATGCTCATATGTGGAATCGCTCGTATTTCGAAGCAATTTTTTCTACATAAATACATTGAAATGCCATTAATTTGTTCCAACAAAAATAAATTTACTCTTTATTAATTGAATTACTGTTTTTTCTGTCTATTTATGATATTGCGGATACTTTGTGTTGCAACTTTCTTGGGACGATTTTTATACACAGACTTTTAGAATCCAGAAATTTGATGACATTTTTCATATTTTCTTTTTATCTATCTCGAATTTTGCTTGTACGTCGCAGCATTGACCTCTTCCTCTCGCGGCTCGTATATCGGGTTACTCGTAAGTCGGGGACTTGAAAAAATAATCTCAAATTACCAAGATCTTTTTTGTTCATAGATTGGTAGTGTTGATAAACTTAGTAAAAGAGTACAATTAGCTGTTGATAAATTGTCTGGAAAAGTTCCCGATGAGAACAATGAGGAACCCAAAAAAGAAACAGCTACAAAAAAGCCAAAGAGACAGAAGAAACAGCAGGATGCTCCAAGTCAATCAGTTTATACAACTCAAAAACCAGTAATAGCAAAAAAATCTAATACAAAATCTAAAGAAAGTACCATTGCCAAAAAACTGCATGCTAAAGAAGTTATACCACAAAAAGAAAAGGACAAAGTTGAATTGTTGAAGAATAAAATGAAAGCAGTAGAAGTATTTAAAAAATCGCAAAAAAAATGTAGTAATGTTAAGAATCAGAAACAACATAAACAAGAACCTCTTGCTGATGCAAATTTATCAGAAAGCAGTGATGATTAATTCTTAATTATACATGATTGTGTATTAATTGTAAAACGATCTCATGTGATGTTATTATATTAAATATATATTTTTTAATTTATAATAAATTAAATTTTATATTTTGTTGTTGATTTATATTTTTTGATACTTCTTTATCTGATATCAAAAAGATATTATGATATTAAGTTTATCGGAAAATTTTAAAAGACAATGAAGTTGTCTTTTGTACAATATAGATTTCTATGTGCTTTAGTATTTGATTTATTAGTTTGTTTCATCTCAAGCAGATATCAGATAAACATATGCTCAAAAAATAGTAAAAAACAGAGTTTATTGAATTACTAGTAGTTCATATTCACATGTGTAACTCAACTTACTTCAACTACTATTAATTTTACTTCTTTTACTGATATTTTGATACTGATAATTATTTGAATAATGAAAATTCTCAACTATTGTGTAAAATTCTTATATACTCGGGAAAATCAGCCTGTATTAATAAAATTATATATATATATATATATATATATATATATATATATATATAAACTCTTCTGTATATTTAAAAATGTATCAATATTTAAGAAATTTTATACTTCACGGTGAAATCACGGAAGTTTGTGAAAAAATGTAATTTATTTTGCACCAAATTTATTTATTGCAATAATCAATCACTAATTCATTGCAGTGTAAATTTTTAGTGAATTTTAATCACTTATATTTTCATTGAAAAAAAAAATCGAATATCAATACAGACATGAACAAATGTAATTTTATTTAATTTATAAAACTTTTATTGTTGTTAAAATTGCAGAGTCAAATAAACGTCGGTTGGATTTCAAAACAGAAGAGGCGTTCGAGTTTCTGAAACGCCATCTCCGACCGAGCGAACGTGCACGCTCTGCAGTCGCACGTCTACAAGTCTTTTGCACATCTATGCTTTGCGACTCTAGGAGTTGGGAGAGGCAGTTGTCATTGCGAGTGAGAGTTCATTTCCATCGTGGCGATTGCTGGAAGAAGACAACGAGACGTCGTCGAACACGGACGAGCGGGCCTTACTCTTCGCTGCCTGTGGAGTACGTGCGATCTGCGAGCGTCACCTGGTACGTTGCACTTGTGCTAATTATATTTCTCTTTGCGGATTCACTAGGATTTCATTTCGTGTTCTACAGCGTTGCGTCATACGTTAGAAATGACAAAGTTTTACAAATTCATAAGATTTAAATGAAACCGTTTCTCATTTCTGTTTCTTTTACAAACCGTGTGCTCGATTTATGTAGTTTTTGCCCAAGTACTACTGTCTAAGACGCACGCCGGATATATTTCATCTCATAATTTTAATTTGCATCATTTGGTGCCCACTGTTATATAAAACTAAATAACATTATTTCTTTGACTAAGCAAGAGTTCACAATTGAATGGCTGGCCGTCGCTGTGTTATTTTATTTCGAGACTTATTGTGAGTACATTCATACGAGTAATTTAATTTGAAGTATAATTTACATTATTATCATCTGCTAACTCACTTCAATTTATAGATCAGAAGTGTTGTGTATATTGGGCCACAATCATTATGACATCAAGAATTTTAAAGCAAAATTACTTTTCCATGAAAGCTATTCTTTGTGTTAAATGCATAATTTTATTTCTCTTATTTGAAAAAAAAAATGACAAAGAATAGTTACAATTTGAATGAATATAATCATGCAAACAAAGTCTATTCTGTGCTTCACTGGAGCGCTGCATTGCACACGAAGACAGCTTTGGCGACGCATCAACAATGACATTTAATGTTTGTATAATCAACTAAATTCAATAATAATTTGTGTATTTTGCAGGTGCAGGTAGGTTTGAGTTTGCTGCTACCAGAGTCTTTCAGTTTTTATACGAACATCGTTTCTGTGACGCACTGAATGTGGTAGTTATTGGAATTGCAATTGGCACGAATAGATTTATTAAGCCGTGATTTTATTCGAGATATTAATTGATCAATACCTTAGTTGTCACTATAACTTTTAGAAATTTACAAAATCATAAAAGCATTGAATTTCATGATTCGAATGATCACCTGCACGATATGCCTTGCATGTGGGTTAATTTATTAGTTAGGTAGCATCAGTACTTTTATTACTAATAATAATAACAAATACTAACACACTAATCTATTCAACTATTGAAAATAATGTGGTCGTTTGAATCATTTGAGATTATGCAATCTGGATTTGACATATTACATTAAATGTTAATTTAATTACAGTGCATTAATTTTCACTGTTTTCAATTCATGTTAATGCATTTCATATAAAACCTAATGCAATTCTTAAATTGCTAGTAAATTTCTACATTATATTTCAGGAAATCAAGATGAAATCACATGGAGGCCACAATATATCATCAAGTTGTTGAGTATCGAATGGCCAAATATCGAGTGAAAATTGCACACCGACTCCTTCACCGGGAATTGCTCTGAAAATAATTTATGAAGTACGTTTTATCCATAATCAGTATAAATGTGAACAATAAATAACATGTTTATTTTTTTACAGGTCTTTTCAACTACTGCTTCTCTGTACACTGACCCCTTCACCAGGAATCGCTCTGAAAATAATTTAAAAAGTACGTTTTTATCCATAATCAGTATAAATGTGAATAACATGTTTATTTTTTTTTCAGGTCGTTTCAACCACTGCTACTCTGCACACTGACCCCTTCACCAGGAATCGCTCTGAAAATAATTTAAAAAGTACATTTTTATCCATAATCAGTATAAATGTAAACAATAAATAACATGCTTATTTTTTTTCAGGTCCTTTTAACTACTGCTGCTGCTCTGCACACTGACTCCTTCACCAGGAATCTTTCCAGAAACATTTTACCAGGTATGTGTTCATCCATAATCAGTATAAATGTGAACAATAAATAACATGTTTATTTTTTTACAGGTCTTTTCAACTACTGCTGCTCTGCACACTGTCCCTTACATCAGGAATTGCTCTGAGAATAATTTAAAAAGTACATTTTTATCCATAATCAGTATAAATGTGGGTCAATAAATAACATGTTTATTTTTTTTTCAGGTCCTTTCCACTACCACTGCTCTGCACACTGACTCCTTCACCAGGATTCTTTCCAGAAACATGTTACCAGGTGTGCGTTTATCCATAATCAATATAAATGTGAACAATAAATAACATGTTTATTTTTTTTCAGGTCCTTTCCACTACCACTGCTCTGCACACTGACTCCTTCACCAGGATTCTTTCCAGAAACATGTTACCAGGTGTGCGTTTATCCATAATCAATATAAATGTGAACAATAAATAACATGTTTTTTTTTTCAGGTCCTTTCCACTACTTCTGCTCTGCACACTGACTCCTTCACCAGGATTCTTTCCAGAAACATGTTACCAGGTGTGTGTTTATCCATATCAATATAAATACCAGGCGTGTGTTTATCCATAATCAATATAAATGTGAACAATAAATATCATGTTTATTTTTTTTTCAGGTCCCTTCAACTACTTTTGCTCTGCACTCTGACTCCTTCGCCAGGAATCTTTCCAGAGACATTTTACCAGGCATGTGTTTATCCACAATCAGTATAAATGCAAACATTCCTATAATGTTTCTTTCTTTTTTGCAGATCTTCTCAATCCAACTATTACTGCCCTGAAGCCTTAAAATCAAGACCTTGGAACACTTTCATGTGAATGACTTGCAAGTGGTTTTTTTCAATGACTGTCTATAATTATGCATGATTAATTTAACTCTTATTAACTCAATAACATGACTAACCTCACTAACTTAATTATGCAGTTTTTTATAAAAACCACTTGTTGAGTTTTACTATGAAGGTCCTAATGGGGTTACGTGGATGACACCGTTGCTTGATTAATCAGGTAATTTATTATTATAGTATATTGTATGAGACTTGTTACTAATTCATTGTTTTTGTTTATAGAGTAAACGAAAACTTCTAGCCAAGTATTCTTCAACTCTCAAGTTACTCAAGACTTGTTCTCCAGCTGAAATAGTCGCTCGATCTACTAATTATGCTGTCCCAAGTACTGGCGTCTACTGTGATATATTGAGTAGTTAAGTGCATAAATGTTAATGAAATAATGAATAAATCTATTGTATTTAATTTAATTTGTTGTTTTAATTTAATTATGAGCCACTTTACGGCCAAATTACATTATACTATAACGTAATTACAAAAATATTTAAACATGTGTTAATAGAGATACTTTTTGAGTGCACTTTTTAGTGTAGACAATTGTGTAGAACAGTTTGTTTACTGTTTGGTTGTCTTAAAATCTTGGTTAACTTCCTTATACCTTTGCTTTGACTCGGTAGAACTCTGCGTCGTTGCTTTGACTCGGTAGAAAAGCGTTGACAATATACACTGCTTTTCTGCAAACCCTTATGTTAGTCGAGTGCCTTAAACATTTAATGTGTCAAACTGATGTTTTCTCTTGTTTAAATATTATACTTTCTATTATTTCTTTAAATGGCGCACTTTTGTTTCTTAGCTATAAATATCACTTAATTTAAAATCATACTGGGTGCATTCGACTTGGACGCTTACGCGCTGTGAGCGCTCACGCTTATAAGCACGAATTTTTAGCGTTCGACTTGGCCGATAAGCGCTCAGAATCGATAACTAAATTCCGTTCGTTTTGGAAACTGTGAGCGTCAATAAGCATCAAAATGGCGGCAACTGGCGGTAACGGTAATTGTGTAAATTTTATTACTTTCTGGATCATTCAGCGGGATTATAAAGAATTTAACAATTAATAAATAAATGAAATTTGGTTAGCTTATGCTTAATTAATAGTAATATTAAATTTAAAATTATTTAAAATTAATTGAACTTAAAATTAATTAATTTAATATTAATATTAATACTAAAAAATAAATGTGATATACAACTCGGCATTTTTGCGGGATTATAAAGAATTTAACAATTAATAAATGAATGAAATTTGGTTAGTTTATGCTTAATTAATAGTAATATTAAAATTAAAATTTAAAATTATTTAAAATTAATTAAATATAAAATTAATCAATATTAATGTTAATATTAAAAAATAATTGTGATATACAGCTTGCCATTTTTGCGGGATTATAAAGAATTTGACAATTAATAAATAAATGAAATGACAGATAGTAAAAACAACTGACGCTCACGCTCACGCTGCCCTACCTCTGTGGCGTGAGCATATGTGAGCGCAAAATATGTGCTACGAGCATCCTACGATGATGCTACGAGCGTGCTTATGTGACACTCACAGCGCCAAGTCGAACGATGAAAGCGCGCTCACGGCGCGCTCACAGCGCGTAAGCGTCCAAGTCGAATGCACCCACTGTGTTATATATATAATAGGTATATATATATATATATATATATATATATATATACATATACATACATATACATACACATACCTAAGTCTGTTTTTACACGGTCTTTTTGTACACGGTTTTGATATAACACGGTTTGAAAATTGAATATTTTTAATTTTTTTATACGATTTTATTCCATACGAATAAAGTACGATTAATAAATAAATTAGTACGATTTCAAATTTTATGTACTTAAATTTTTTTTGTCAAATTTAATTTTTGCGAAGTATGTTCATATTACAAAAAAGTATTTATGAAAGTAAAAAGTCTGAAACCATCGATAGTATCGATAGTTTGCGAACACTAGCTTAAAGATTTAAGTGAATTCCGCTTTAGCGCGTACAAACAATTTTTACTGGTCAAAGCGAATGCGAATAACTGATGACGACAGCAATTAAATTTATGTTGTTGTATTTATGATTATCACTCATTCTATTTTATTTTATTTTTTACCTTAAAAATTGAATAACCTATTCTTTTCGTTCATAACATATTTTTTTAGTTCCTGAACTTGCCATACATTTAATTTATATTACTTTTAAGATTAGAGTGCATATCTTTTTTATCATTAATTACTATGCTTATGAAAATAAGCATTATATATTTGATTTAATAAAATAAACATGAATTCTTGTTTTTAAAAATTCTTGTTTTTCACTAATTTTAATAGGTTTTAGAGATTAGGAACAAATCACCCATTTTTGTATAAGATCAATGTCTTTTTTTACACGGTTGTTTTTACACGGCTTCTTCTGGAACCAATCTACCGTGTAAAAACAGACTTAGGTGTATATATATATATAATAATAATAACACAGTATGTAACAATAATATATATATATATATATATATATATATATATATATATATATTATGCAATTAGACAAATGTTAATGTATTTTAGTCATTTTCATTACTGCAATTGTAAGAATAAATTAATATAACTGTATTATTAAATACTGTGATACATTAAGAGTTTTGAATAAAACTAACTAACTTCTATTTGGAGTGTTTCATTTGACACCATTTTCAGTATTATATATATTAGAAACACACCGTACAGGTACAGGTACTATAAACTGATAAGCTAATGTTATCATAAACATTAATATACTCATTAATTCGTTCTTCTAAGAGGATTTAATATTTTGAATAAATTTCATATAATATAATTTTTGTAATCTAATTCTATCATGATCAATATTGTTAATGTAGTTATACTTTTGGCACTTTAATCTATACTATTATTTAAAGTCTTAATTAATTAATATACTTTGAATATTGGTCAGTTTTACTTCACTATAACTTATAAAAAAAATTACTTAACTATAACTTATAAAAAAAATCCAAGTTTTCAGTCTTGTGTTATTTTCTTCTTCTGCACAAGAATATCTTCATTATTATTAATATATCTTAATTTTTATTTGCGTAATTATTACATTAATTACATTAATATTCTTACCATATTTACCCTACCATCTCCTATTTTACTCTACACTACCTTACCATAAACTTACACTACCTTACCATAAACTTACACTACCTTAACCTAATGCTTATCTACGTTAAGAGAACTGATACTTTTACCTTGCTTACCTTACCACGTCTCGAACCTGCTACCCTGACTTCTCCAGCGACACCCACCTCCAAACGCGCGACGCCACGACGATCACATTAATAAACCGTTACAAAGTACATGATATTGTATATTATAAACGAAAAAAACTAACAGGTCATATGGCCAAAAAAATGTTAATTTTGTGTGGCCTGTGTTGGCGTAATGGATAGATCGATGGCTTCGTACCTTAAAGGTACCGAGTTCGAATCATACCTCAGGACAAAAAAAGAGTATTGTTCACGTTGTGGTATTTATTTAGTGTTGAATAACACAAAATTAATATTTAGATATAACAAACTAACAAGCCATGAGGTCGAAAGAAAGCAGAATCGATGTGGCCTGTGCTGGCATAATTGGTAGAGCGACGGATTCGTGCCCAAACAGTGCCGAGTTCGAACCATACCTCGGGACAAAAAATGGAAAGCGTGGAATTTATTATTTATTGTAAGATAGCACAAAGTTAAAATTTGGATTTAATAAACTAACAGGTCATGAGGCCGAAAAAAAGCAGAATCGATGTGGCCTGTGTTGGCGTATTGCTAGCGTGCTAGCTTCATGTCAACAGGGTACCGAGTTCGATTCATACCTCCGGACACAAAACGCAAAATAGCGTGACTGTTGACGCTGTGGAACGAGGTATGCACGGAATCACATCCGTTCGAATTTGACACCCCAGGCATGCTCCCCTCGATCTCGATTGAGAGGAGAGATACGCGCGAGAATCCCGCAACATCCCCTAATGAACCCCGCAGCAGCCCCGAAAAGGGGCGAGGGGGGATTATAGGGGGGTGTGGGGTTCACGAACCCGCGACCCTGTGGTCCAACCCTCCCGAAAAAGGGAGAGGGGGGACTATAGGGGGGTGAGGGTTCCGCGCGACGACCAGCCCTGGTCGCGCCGGTTGAAAAGCTGGGTGCGTCACAGGGTGGGTCGGTGTGCGAGTCCCCGGAGCACCCTCGAATGCGATGATGGGGATGTGGGGTGAGGGAAATGCGGTGACGAGGAAAAAAGGGGTGGAAAGATATGAGGGGGAGAGATAGAGGCGGTGGGAGTGATAGGGGGAGAGATAAGGGGAGGGGGAGAGATAGGGGGAGAGAAGTAAAAGGAGGGAGAGAGATAGGGGGAGAGAAGTAAGGGGAGGGAGAGAGATGGGAGGGGAGAGATAACGGGAGGGGAGAGATAGGGGGAGGGATGAGAGGGGGAGAGAGACGGAGGGAGGAATGGATGAGGTATGCAGCGACGGGCGCGGATGTAACACATTTTAATCTATCTACCCTCATCCATCCCTCCTCCGTCTCTTTCCCCCTCCCATCTCTCTCTCTCCCTCCCCACTCTCCCCCCCTTATCTCTCCCCCTATCTCTCCCACCACCTCTATCTCTCCCCCTCATATTTTTCCACCCCTTTTTTCCTCGTCACTGCATTTCCCTCACCCCACATCCCCATCATCGCATTCGAGGGTGCTCCGGGGACTCGCACACCGACCCACCCTGTGACGCACCCAGCTTTTCAACCGGCGCGACCAGGGCTGGTCGTCGCGCGGAACCCTCACCCCCCTATAGTCCCCCCTCCCCCTTTTTCGGGAGGGTTGGACCACAGGGTCGCGGGTTCGTGAACCCCACACCCCCCTACAATCCCCCCTCGCCCCTTTTCGGGGCTGCTGCGGGGTTCATTAGGGGATGTTGCGGGATTCTCGCGCGTATCTCTCCTCTCAATCGAGATCGAGGGGAGCATGCCTGGGGTCTCAAATTCGAACGGATGTGATTCCGTGCATACCTCGTTCCACAGCGTCAACAGTCACGCTATTTTGCGTTTTGTGTCCGGAGGTATGAATCGAACTCGGTACCCTGTTGACATGAAGCTAGCACGCTAGCAATACGCCAACACAGGCCACACCGAATCTGCTTTTTTTCGGCCTCATGACCTGTTAGTTTATTAAATCCAAATTTTATCTTTGTGCTATCTTACAATAAGTAATAAATTCCACGCTCTCCATTTTTTGTCCCGAGGTATGGTTCGAACTCGGCACTCTTTGGTTACGAATCCACCACTCTACCAATGACGCCAACACAGGCCACATCGATTCTGCTTTCTTTCGGCCTTATGGCTTGTTAGTTTGTTATATCTAAATATTAATTTTGTGTTATTAAACACTAAATAAATACCACAACGTAAACAATACTCTTTTTTTGTCCTGAGGTATGATTCGAACTCGGTACCTTTAAGGTACGAAGCCATCAATCTATCTATTGCGCCAACACAGGCCACACAAAATCAACTTTTTTTTGGCCATATGACCTGTTAGTTTTTTTTCGTTTAAAATATACAATATCATGTACTTTGTAACGGTTTATTAATGTGATCGTCGTGGCGTCGCGCGTTTGGAGGTGGGTGTCGCTGGAGAGGTCAGGGTAGCAGGTTCGAGACGTGGTAAGGTAAGCAAGGTAAAAGTATCAGTTCTCTTAACGTAGATAAGCATTAGGTTAAGGTAGTGTAAGTTTATGGTAAGGTAGTGTAGAGTAAAATAGGAGATGGTAGGGTAAATATGGTAAGAATATTAATGTAATTAATGTAATAATTACGCAAATAAAAATTAAGATATATTAATAATAATGAAGATATTCTTGTGCAGAAGAAGAAAATAACACAATACTGAAAACTTGGATTTTTTTTATAAGTTATAGTTAAGTAATTTTTTTTATAAGTTATAGTGAAGTAAAACTGACCAATATTCAAAGTATATTAATTAATTAAGACTTTAAATAATAGTATAGATTAAAGTGCCAAAAGTATAACTACATTAACAATATTGATCATGATAGAATTAGATTACAAAAATTATATTATATGAAATTTATTCAAAATATTAAATCCTCTTAGAAGAACGAATTAATGAGTATATTAATGTTTATGATAACATTAGCTTATCAGTTTATAGTACCTGTACCTGTACGGTGTGTTTCTAATATATATAATACTGAAAATGGTGTCAAATGAAACACTCCAAATAGAAGTTAGTTAGTTTTATTCAAAACTCTTAATGTATCACAGTATTTAATAATACAGTTAGATTAATTTATTCTTTCAATTGCAGTAATGAAAATGACTAAAATACATTAACATTTGTCTAATTGCATAATTATATATATATATATATATATACATATATTTATATATATATATATATATATATATATATATTATTGTTACATACTGTGTTATTATTATTATATATATACACCTAAGTCTGTTTTTACACGGTAGATTGGTTCCAGAAGAAGCCGTGTAAAAACAACCGTGTAAAAAAAGACATTGATCTTATACAAAAATGGGTGATTTGTCCTACTCTCTAAAACCTATTAAAATTAGTGAAAAACAAGAATTTTCAAGAACAAGAATTCATGTTTATTTTAATAATAATTCACCTAAATTAATGCTATTCACATTTGCTTTGACCAGTAAAAATTGTTTGTACGCGCTAAAGGAGAATTCACTTAAATCTTTAAGCTAGTGTTCGCAAACTATCGATACTATCGATGGTTTCAGACTTTTTACTTTCATAAATACTTTTTTGTAATATGAACATACTTCGCAAAAATTAAATTTGACAAAAAAAATTTAAGTACATAAAATTTGAAATCGTACTAATTTATTTATTAATCGTACTTTATTCGTATGGAATAAAATCGTATAAAAAAATTAAAAATATTCAATTTTCAAACCGTGCTATATCAAAACCGTGTACAAAAAGACCGTGTAAAAACAGACTTAGGTATGTATATGTATATGTATGTATATGCATATATATATATATATATATATATATATATATACCTATTATATATATAACACAGTATGATTTTAAATTAAGTGATATTTATAGCTAAGAAACAAAAGTGCGCCATTTAAAGAAATAATAGAAAGTATAATATTTAAGCAAGAGAAAACATCAGTTTGACACATTAAATGTTTAAGGCACTCGACTAACATAAGGGTTTGCAGAAAAGCAGTGTATATTGTCAACGCTTTTCTACCGAGTCAAAGCAACGACGCAGAGTTCTACCGAGTCAAAGCAAAGGTATAAGGAAGTTAACCAAGATTTTAAGACAACCAAACAGTAAACAAACTGTTCTACACAATTGTCTACACTAAAAAGTGCACTCAAAAAGTATCTCTATTAACACATGTTTAAATATTTTTGTAATTACGTTATAGTATAATGTAATTTGGCCGTAAAGTGGCTCATAATTAAATTAAAACAACAAATTAAATTAAATACAATAGATTTATTCATTATTTCATTAACATTTATGCACTTAACTACTCAATATATCACAGTAGACGCCAGTACTTGGGACAGCATAATTAGTAGATCGAGCGACTATTTCAGCTGGAGAACAAGTCTTGAGTAACTTGAGAGTTGAAGAATACTTGGCTAGAAGTTTTCGTTTACCCTATAAACAAAAACAATGAATTAGTAACAAGTCTCATACAATATACTATAATAATAAATTACCTGATTAATCAAGCAGCGGTGTCATCCACGTAACCCCATTAAGACCTTCATAGTAAAACTCAAGTGGTTTTTATAAAAACTGCATAATTAAGTTAGTGAGGTTAGTCATGTTATTGAGTTATTAAGAGTTAAGTTAATCATGCATAATTATAGACAGTCATTGAAAAAAACCACTTGCAAGTCATTCACATGAAAGTGTTCCAAGCTCTTGATTTTAAGGCTTCAGGGCAGTAATAGTTGGATTGAGAAGATCTGCAAAAAAGAAAGAAACATTATAGGAATGTTTGCATTTATACTGATTGTGGATAAACACATGCCTGGTAAAATGTTTCTGGAAAGATTCCTGGCGAAGGAGTCAGAGTGCAGAGCAAAAGTAGTTGAAGGGACCTGAAAAAAAATAAACATGATATTTGTTGTTCACATTTATATTGATTATGGATAAACACACACCTGGTAACATGTTTCTGGAAAGAATCCTGGTGAAGGAGTCAGTGTGCAGAGCAGTGGTAGTGGAAAGGACTTGAAAAAAAATAAACATGTTATTTATTGTTCACATTTATATTGATTATGTGATAAACGCACACCTGGTAACATGTTTCTGGAAAGAATCCTGGTGAAGGAGTCAGTGTGCAGAGCAGTGGTAGTGGAAAGGACCTGAAAAAAAAATAAACATGTTATTTATTGTCCACATTTATATTGATTATGGATAAACGCACACCTGGTAACATGTTTCTGGAAAGAATCCTGGTGAAGGAGTCAGTGTGCAGAGCAGTGGTAGTGGAAAGGACCTGAAAAAAAATAAACATGTTATTTATTGTTCACATTTATATTGATTATGTGATAAACGCACACCTGGTAACATGTTTCTGGAAAGAATCCTGGTGAAGGAGTCAGAGTGCAGAGCAAAAGTAGTTGAAGGGACCTGAAAAAAAATAAACATGTTATTTATTGTCCACATTTATATTGATTATGGATAAACACACATCTGGTAACATGTTTCTGGAAAGAATCCTGGTGAAGGAGTCAGTGTGCAGAGCAGTGGTAGTGGAAAGGACCTGAAAAAAAATAAACATGTTATTTATTGTTCACATTTATATTGATTATGGATAAACGCACACCTGGTAACATGTTTCTGGAAAGAATCCTGGTGAAGGAGTCAGAGTGCAGAGCAAAAGTAGTTGAACGGACCTGAAAAAAAATAAACATGTTATTTATTGTCCACATTTATATTGATTATGGATAAACGCACACCTGGTAACATGTTTCCGGAAAGAATCCTGGTGAAGGAGTCAGTGTGCAGAGCAGTGGTAGTGGAAAGGACCTGAAAAAAAAAAAAAACATGTTATTTATTGTCCACATTTATATTGATTATGGATAAACGCACACCTGGTAACATGTTTCTGGAAAGAATCCTGGTGAAGGAGTCAGTGTGCAGAGCAGTGGTAGTGGAAAGGACCTGTAAAAAAATAAACATGTTATTTATTGTCCACATTTATATTGATTATGGATAAACACACACCTGGTAACATATTTCTGGAAAGAATCCTGGTGAAGGAGTCAGTGTGCAGAGCAGCAGTAGTTGAAAGGACCTGAAAAAAAATAAGCATGTTATTTATTGTTTACATTTATACTGATTATGGATAAAAATGTACTTTTTAAATTATTTTCAGAGCGATTCCTGGTGAAGGGGTCAGTGTGCAGAGTAGCAGTGGTTGAAACGACCTGAAAAAAAAATAAACATGTTATTCACATTTATACTGATTATGGATAAAAACGTACTTTTTAAATTATTTTCAGAGCGATTCCTGGTGAAGGGGTCAGTGTACAGAGAAGCAGTAGTTGAAAAGACCTGTAAAAAAATAAACATGTTATTTATTGTTCACATTTATACTGATTATGGATGAACACATATCTGGTAAAATGTTTCTGGAAAGATTCCTGGTGAAGGAGTCAGTGTGCAGAGCAGCAGTAGTTGAAAGGACCTGAAAAAAAAATAAACATGTTATTTATTGACACACATTTATACTGATTATGGTTAAAAACGTACTTTTTAAATTATTTTCAGAGCGATTCCTGGTGAAAGGGTCAGTGTGCAGAGCGGCAGTAGTTGAAAGGACCTGAAAAAAAAATAAGCATGTTATTTATTGTTCACATTTATACTGATTATGGATGAACACATACCTGGTAACATGTTTCTTTAAGGATTCCTGGTGAAGGAGTCAGAGTGCAGAGCAACAGTAGTTGAAAGAACCTGGAAAAAAATTAACATGTTACTTATTGTTCACATTTATACTGATTATGGATAAAACGTACTTCATAAATTATTTTCAGAGCAATTCCCGGTGAAGGAGTCGGTGTGCAATTTTCACTCGATATTTGGCCATTCGATACTCAACAACTTGATATGATATATTGTGGCCTCCATGTGATTTCATCTTGATTTCCTGAAATATAATGTAGAAATTTACTAGCAATTTAAGAATTGCATTAGGTTTTATATGAAATGCATTAACATGAATTGAAAACAGTGAAAATTAACATTTAATGTAATATGTCAAATCCAGATTGCATAATCTCAAATGATTCAAACGACCACATTATTTTCAATAGTTGAATAGATTAGTGTGTTAGTATTTGTTATTATTATTAGTTATAAAAGTACTGATGCTACCTAACTAATAAATTAACCCACATGCAAGGCATATCGTGCAGGTGATCATTCGAATCATGAAATTCAATGCTTTTATGATTTTGTAAATTTCTAAAAGTTATAGTGACAACTAAGGTATTGATCAATTAATATCTCGAATAAAATCAGGGCTTAATAAATCTATTCGTGCCAATTGCAATTCCAATAACTACCACATTCAGTGCGTCACAGAAACGATGTTCGTATAAAAACTGAAAGACTCTGGTAGCAGCAAACTCAAACCTACCTGCACCTGCAAAATACACAAATTATTATTGAATTTAGTTGATTATACAAACATTAAATGTCATTGTTGATGCGTCGCCAAAGCTGTCTTCGTGTGCAATGCAGCGCTCCAGTGAAGCACAGAATAGTCTTTGTTTGCATGATTATATTCATTCAAATTGTAACTATTCTTTGTCAATTTTTTTTTTCAAATAAGAGAAATAAAATTATGCATTTAACACAAAGAATAGCTTTCATGGAAAAGTAATTTTGCTTTAAAATTCTTGATGTCATAATGATTGTGGCCCAATATACACAACACTTCTGATCTATAAATTGAAGTGAGTTAGCAGATGATAATAATGTAAATTATACTTCAAATTAAATTACTCGTATGAATGTACTCACAATAAGTCTCGAAATAAAATAACACAGCGACGGCCAGCCATTCAATTGTGAACTCTTGCTTAGTCAAAGAAATAATATTATTTAGTTTTATATAACAGTGGGCACCAAATGATGCAAATTAAAATTATGAGATGAAATATATCCGGCGTGCGTCTTAGACAGTAGTACTTGGGCAAAAACTACATAAATCGAGCACACGGTTTGTAAAAGAAACAGAAATGAGGAACGGTTTCATTTAAATCTTATGAATTTGTAAAACTTTGTCATTTCTAACGTATGACGCAACGCTGTAGAACACGAAATGAAATCCTAGTGAATCCGCAAAGAGAAATATAATTAGCACAAGTGCAACGTACCAGGTGACGCTCGCAGATCGCACGTACTCCACAGGCAGCGAAGAGTAAGGCCCGCTCGTCCGTGTTCGACGACGTCTCGTTGTCTTCTTCCAGCAATCGCCACGATGGAAATGAACTCTCACTCGCAATGACAACTGCCTCTCCCAACTCCTAGAGTCGCAAAGCATAGATGTGCAAAAGACTTGTAGACGTGCGACTGCAGAGCGTGCACGTTCGCTCGGTCGGAGATGGCGTTTCAGAAACTCGAACGCCTCTTCTGTTTTGAAATCCAACCGACGTTTATTTGACTCTGCAATTTTAACAACAATAAAAGTTTTATAAATTAACTAACGATATTCCATTCTTTTAGTAAACTCTCTAAAAATTTACACTGCAATGAATTAGTCATTGGTTATTGAAATAAATAAATTTGGTGTAGAATAAATTTTATTTTCTTTCACTAACCTGTGTTTTACAGTACACTTGTTTGCTTTTCCTTTCTCAGGTATAAAATTTGTTAAATATTTTTACATTTTTAAATATACAGACAAATTTTCAGTGTTTTATTTATATATCACTCATATACATGAATAATTTTGAAGTGCTTTTAAATTTTGATAGAAAATTTATTTCTACATTCCTGCAACACGTGAAGCCATTAAATATTATATAAATACAAACATACAATTTTTTCAAGTTTTAAGTTATTAGTTTACAATAAAATTACTAATGATGATACAAACTAGCCACAAAACATTTGTAAACTAACAAAGTTAGCGCAAAAGAGTCTCACTGTGTACTTATCGAGAGTAGAGTTGGTTAAATATTTTGAAATATAAAAAAATCAAACCAAGGTCAAAAGAAAAATATAAACTAGCTGTAAGTGGAATTCTGTCTTAAGGCAATTAGGGCATCGTGCCTTAAGGCAAATTGCTGGAACTTCTCGTACCAAAAATTATTTTTTTTTTTAAAAACGATTAACATTTTTGAAAAAAAATTACTTCGAAAAAATAAGATTTTTGAGAAACTATAAATTTGACAAAAAATTACTTTTTTTTAAAAAAAAAAATTGAAAAAAAAAATTAAGAAATTTTTTTTTTAAATATTTTTTTTTGAAAAAAAAATGTTTTCTTTATTTTGACATATGTTGGAAGATCTGAACTTTTTTTCAAAGCAATCGTACTGCTTTAAATGCATAGAGACAAAATATAAAGCGCGTAAGCGCCGCGTCGCTGTCTAACGGGTAAACATTGGTACGGAACCCATAGGAATGTAAACAAAATTTATACTTAGTGTTAAAATCTCTATAAAATATCTGATAATTTGATGTGCATATGTCTAATGATCATTTTTGACCGCCAAATGGCATTTTTTTTACTTTTTTCGTTATATCTCCGAAACCGCTAAACCTGCCCTTATAAAAATTTGATCAAATCTTCATCTTGTCAATACAAGTAAAATGTTTTTTTAATAATTAAAATCGGACGCTCCGTTCTATTAAAAACTGAGGTACCGTTTTTGGCACTTTTTGCCCCATATCTTCGGAACGGCTAGATCTACCTCCGCCAAAAACTAATCAGCACGTCTCCTTATCAATACGGATCGAATGTTTTTTAAATTATTCAAATTGCTTTATCCGTGTTCCCGAAATCGTCGACGAAAATTTGTATCCGCATAAACATACATACTACGCACACACACACACACACACAAACACACACACACACATACATCCATTTTTTCTAAGGTATGCCAAAATATTCAGAAACCTCTGAAACGTAAAGATATATAAAAAATTTTATTTTCGATTTTTTGCGATTACTATAACTTACCCTACGGGAAGTTAATTAATTAAAAAAATGTTTAATATTACATTTTTCTTTAAATTTCGTTTATTTTAAATAATCAGAATCAAATGACATTCTGTAAGAAAACACAAAATAAGCAATTTGAATTATCTAGTGAAAACAAACCACTCCTTTGAAAAGTTGAAAAACAATTAAATGAAATGAAAAACCATTTACGCAATTTGAACAGTAATAAAAAATATACGAGATAGATTTAAAAGTCGATGTATGATTTGATTTATTTGTTAGTTTCAATCTGTGTGTCGGTGAATAATAGAATTATTAATTAGTGTAAAAATATTTGTGAAAAAAGTGCTGAAATTGTTCTTATTTTGTGTGCTTGTATTTATCAGTATTTTTCTTTATGTGTAAACTTTTGTATAGAAAAATATAATCTAACTAAATCCTTGAGGGTCCTTGTGAATAATAATATAGTAATGTCATGACTTTAGTGAAGAATAATAATAATGATATTAATTTAGTTTTTTCCCCCATAGTTCTTTTCCTGGTCGGCCAGATAATTCCAGGAGCGCCCCAAAATATCGATCAATAAATGATCCAACAAGTATTCGGGGCCCTGCCTTCCAACAATATACCACAAAATTATTACAATGGATCAGTTCATCCCCAAAATCAATGGTATGGTGGTATGATGAACGATCAACAAGCACCAAGGCCACACAATTATGTACAAAATTCGAATAATTTGAGGAATATGCCCATGCCGATGCCAGATGTACAAAATGCTACCGGATGGGATTTGAGGGATGATTTCATTCCCTTCGAAGGAGCGGTCGATGGGGATTTTGATTGGGCACTTTGTAAGGTACAAGATCTCCAACAAGGAATTTAACTCAAAGATTTCTTCATTAATATGAAGCATCTGTTCAATAATCACTTGAGGTTTTTAGATGGGGGGGGGGGGTGTTGACAAAAAATCACGTGGGGGAAGAAAGTGTCTAAGGGTAAAATATCACGTGTATTTATTTTTTAACTGATTTTTTTTAAAAAAAATCCAAGCATTTTTAAAAGAAAAACAAAAAATTTACAATTTTTGGGGAGAGGCGTTAATTTTGAATATCGCCACGTATCAGCAAGGAGGAGGGGGGGGTCCAAAAATCCTTAAGAAATCGATCACTTGATTAATGGACGCTTCATAAATTGGATTTCTGTCATAGTTAAAAGTATATAAATAAACCCTAAATCAATATTTAATACTAAAAAAATATTTCGTAGTAAAAATTTAAATTAATAGGCAAGGGTTGCATGGGAGATTCGAGGTTATATGTGGTATTTAATTAACTTATTAATTATTTAATTTCTGAAGATGATGTGGTATTTAATTATCTTATCAATTATTTAATTTTTGAAGAAGACGTAGTATTTAATTATCTTTCTATGAGAGTTTATTTTTAGTATACTCAAAACAAAATATTGTAAATTCTAAATTATAATTTACTTGCAAATATAAATCATACTGAAGAGAAAACCTAATAATTTTTGAAATTTGTGTAATATAATTGTGTAATAAGTGATAGATATTCCTGATAATTTAAAAAAATCAAATTTTATAAATCTACAAATTTTACAGTATTATTATAGTCAATTTTAGAAATATACGCTGAATGAGATATAAAAGTAACGCATATTAAATTAATGAAATTATTATTAAATATTCAAA